TATATTTTTATATATCTAAACAATTTTATCCTGCCATTTGGACATGAACCACACTCTTCCTCTTCTCCCAACTTGACTTCCAAAGAGTGAGGCTACATCAGCTATAAGTTAAAGCAATGGGAAGGAACATTGCTTTTCTTTAGTAGGAAAGGAAACATGCAGCCAGCCCACTCACCTTCTGCCTTGCCGCAGGAGTCTATTACATCTTAGGACGTAATGCCACTTCCCTCCCCCAATGAATTGTTTTGCCCATAATATTTTGTTGAAGGAGAGGTCTGTAGATTTGACAGCTGACATATTGCTGCTTCTCTTAACTCAGCATGCTCCTGGTGTCCCCAAAATCCTGGTTGGCAATCGTCTGCATCTAGCCTTCAAGCGCCAAGTCTCTACTGAGCAAGCACAGGCCTATGCTGAAAGATTAGGCATGACATTCTTTGAAGTGAGCCCACTCTGCAATTTCAATATCACCGAGTCCTTTACGGAACTTGCCAGGATAGTGTTAATGAGACATGGGATGGATCGACTGTGGAGGCCAAACAAAGGTAAGTCATGTAATATTTCAGGTATATTTCTATATAGCAGACTTTAAATGGTTCAAAACAATTGCTTTAAAATAATTTAATAAGTGATTTTGATTTTCTGAGACCTATTTGTAAGCAATATAAAAACTAGAAGCCCTGCTTGATAACACACTTCCTCCCTCCCTCCTTTTTTGTTTGTTCTAATCATAATTTAACATTATATCTCTACTAGCACTAATTATGGTCAATTGTAATCCTGCTGTTTTTTAGCTAGTATCTGTAGACCTAATTGAAATGCTTGTGTCAGTTCAATGAAATTGGAAGAGGTTCATGCCAAAGCTGATGCTTGCTTTACAAAACCTGTTTGGCAGGCAGATAGTATTAGCATCTCCCCGTACCCTGAATGGCACACAGGAAAATATTGTGAATCTCTATCTCCTTGGGAGAGTGGGGGACAATGAGAAATACCAGATCTAAAGAGTGTTATCATATATATTCAAGTTACGTATCTGGATGAAGGAAAAAAGGGTAGATGATTTCTTACTCTGAAGTAATATATATAGAGAAAATTATGATGACTATATGTACTACTACCTAGAGTTGCAAATAAAACTAGAAATAACAGTGGTCATCTTCCAGTATCTGCTGGAATTCATATTTTATCTAAATCCAAACACTCAATATGCTGACTTTGTGGAACATATTTCCACAAAATTTCACATTTTGGAAATTTCTACAAGGAAAATGAGTGGGTAGAGAGCTTGAAAAGTACTGTTTAACCCTGCTTGTGCGCACTGCCCTCATGTGGCTATTTAAAATCTTGTTATTTGTTCAATCTAATGTGCATGTTTTAATTTATTCCAGTCCTGAGCCTGCAAGATCTTTGTTGCCGTGCCATAGTTTCATGCACTCCTGTGCACCTTGTTGACAAACTTCCACTTCCTGTTGCCTTAAGAAGCCATCTCAAATCCTTTTCTATGGCCAATGGTCTTAATGCTAGGATGATGCACGGCCGTTCCTACTCACTTACTGCCAGCAACAACAACAACAAAAGGAACAGCCTGAAGAAAGTTAAAATCATCCGTCCAATCCAGAGCCCTCCAAAACACTACACCAGAAATAGTTGTAAAATCTCCTAAGCCCATGATTGGAAAGCTGTGGTCAAAGACTTCAAAACAAGGACTAATTCAGCAGCCTGGACTGCCGTGTGTACTACATTACAGAAAGAGAACAAATAAAATGTTATTTTAGAAATGTTTGTTTTTAATAATGCTGCTTCCAAGTGCATCATACATTATTTGTGAATGAAGGGAAATGACACTTTGCTGTTTTTATATATTGATTTTTGATGTGCATGAGATTTTCTGTGTTTTATAAAGGGAATAATTTATAATACTGACACTATATCTCAGAGGTCACTCATTTAAATTGCTACATTAAATTAAATATTGTTTAGTTGGTTTGTTTTGTTTTCATTTAGATAGAAAATGTCAATCTGTAGATTCAACACAATGTATTGTATACATTGTAAGAAATACAAAGAGTGAAATAATTCTAGTAATGTTGCAGTAAAGCATCCGATTCTGGTTTTGTACAGCTTTCCCAGTAATTTTAAGTAATACTTTGAGCTATTAATGTGTATATGCAATATGCACAGAAATTTGTCCCATCCATGTATAAAATATTTGATAACGTTTTTGCTATGTTGTTTAGGGATTGATCTGTGGGTTATATGCTTATTTTTCTGGTAAAGCTACAATTTTGTATTGAATATTCTAGTAATCAGTTATTGAGAGAGCAAAAGCCAAAGATGTCAAGATGTAATTGCCACATCATTAAGAAGAGTATGATTTCAAAAAGTGTTCTATCAGGAAAAGATATTATTATTTAAAAATAAAAATAAAATCTCCAATGTGTGTGTGTATGTGTATATTTGCAGTTAAATATTTGACTTGAGTTCATTTGCAGTTTAGGGAGGGCCCTTTAGACTCATCAGACAGAGAGCTCTTGGGCCTCACTGAACTACAAACTCTAGACTCCACAGGAAGTTGTCATGGCAGCTAAAGCACAAGAATACCCTAAAAGACACTAAATCCAGAGCTAAGCAGAGATCAACAATGACTAAAATATCTGGAGCCATAGGTTATATTTCAGTGGAAGGGACTGGCCAAACCACCGCTAACTCTTCCTCTGACCTCAAGGAATTACAGGCAGACCCCAAGTTGCAAGCATCCGGCTTACAAACATCTGGCTTATCATGATGCTATCTATTATAATGATTGTTTATTATTTGAAGTGCTTCATTATGTTACGTTTCTCAGGCATTGAATGTTTGCTCATCTTTTGTCGAACACTGCCCTGAGTCCCTTTTGGGAGATAGGGTGCTATAGAATTATTATTATTATTATTATTATTATTATTATTATTATTATTATTATTATTATTACTATTATTATTATTATATTACAAATGACCCACAGTTAAGAATGGTGGTGTGACAACAGGAAGTGAGAGAAATCTCCCCCTTGGAAGGGAAATTCATTCCTGAAAGACTTGTCATGAGGTAAAGGTGTCTCCACTGGACTTCCATCAACAATCCTTGTTTCCACAACCAGCCAAATTTTCCAAAATCCAATTCTCACAGAGACTGAAAGTGAGGCGAAATCTTCTGAACTGGGGCACAGACAGTAAAGCAAGCATCACAGGAGTGTTAACCCTTTCCTATGCTATCCCTGGTGGTGCAGCAGGTTAAACCGCTGAGCTGCTGAACTTGCTGACCAAAAGGTTGGTGGTTCGAATCCAGGGAGTGGGGTGAGCTCTTGCTGTTAGCCCCAGCTTCTGTCAACCTAGCAGTACAAAAACTTGCAAATGTGAGTAGATCAATATGTACCGCTTCTGCAGGAAGGTAACGGCGCTCCATGTAATCATTCCAGCCACATGACCTTGGAGGCGACTACAGACGACTCTGGCGCTTCGGCTCAGAAATGGAGATGAGTTCCACCCTACAGACTCGGACACAACTAGGCTTAATGTCAAGGGGTAACCTTTACCTTATGCCAGTGGTTTTCAACTTGTGGATCCCCAGATATTTTTGTCTTCAACTCCCAGAAATCCTAGACCAAAACACCTGGGGACCCACAGGTTGAGAACCCCTGACTTATGCTATCCAAAACTTTTATTTTTGGGGGTTGTAGGCTTTTTCAGGCTATATGGCCATGTTCTAGTGGCATTCTCTCATAGAATCATAGAGTTGGAAGAGACCTCATGGGCCATCCAGTCCAGCCCTCTGCCAAGAAGCAGGAATATTGCATTCAAATCACCCCTGACAGATGGCCATCCAGCCTCTGTTTAAAAGCTTCCAAAGAAGGAGCCTCCACCACACTCCGGGGCAGAGAGTTCCACTGCTGAATGGCTCTCACAGTCAGGAAGTTCTTCCTCGTGTTCAGATGGAATCTCCTCTTTTGTAGTTTGAAGCCATTGCTCCATTGCATCCTAGTCTCCAAGGAAGCAGAAAACAAGCTTGCTCCCTCCTCCTCTCTGTGGCTTCCTCTCACCTATTTATACATGGCTATCATATCTCCTCTCAGCCTTCTCTTCTTCAGGCTAAACATGCCCAGCTCCTTAAGCCGCTCCTCATAGGGCTTGTTCTCCAGACCCTTGATCATTTTAGTCGCCCTCCTCTGGACACATTCCAGCTTGTCAATATCTCTCTTGAATTGTGATGCCCAGAACTGGACACAATATTCCAGGTGTGGTCTAACCAAAGCGGAATAGAGGGGTAGCATGACTTCCCTAGATCTAGACACTATGCTCCTATTGATGCAGGCCAAAATCCCATTGGCTTTTTTTGCCGCCACATCACATTGTTGGCTCATGTTTAACTTGTTGTCCACGAGGACTCCAAGATCTTTTTCACACGTACTGCTCTCAAGCCAGCCGTCACTACCTCTGAGGATGCTTGCCATAGATGCAGGCGAAACGTCAGGAGAAATGCTTCTAGAACATGGCCATATAGCCCGAAAAAACCTACAACAACCCAGTGATTCTGGCCATGAAAGCCTTCGACAATACATGTTATTTTTTTGTCGGGATCGACTTGAGAAACTGCAAGTCCAAATCTCAAAGATGGCTGGAGTTTCACTCAAAAATGCACCTGTTCCGACTTACAAACAAATTCACCGTAAGAACAAACCTACAGAACCTAACTTGGGAGCTGCCTTGACTGGCGTCGGCACAACAGGACTGGGCACGGGAAGGTGCACCCAGGAGTGGCGCCAGCCAGGGATCGATGCGCTCGGCGCTCGGCAGGGCTCCCTGCCTGAAGGCCGACGCGCTCTGCGGAGCCAGTCCGTCCGTCCAAGGCAGGGGGCGTGGCTTCCGCTCTGCTCGAGGCGCTCGGCGCTCCTCCGCCGGGCTGCTGGGTGAGCTCGGCGCTCGCGAGCGCGCCTGCCCAGTGCGGAAGGAGCCCTCCCCTCCGCCAGGGGCCCTCCTCCTCCTCCTCCTCCTCCCCCGATGGACTGAAGGAGGCCCCGCCGCCGCCTCTCTGCCTCCTGAGGAGGCGCCCGGCGCCATGAACCTGCTCCCGGCCAACCCGCACGGAAACGGGCTCCTCTTCGCCGGCTTCAACCAGGACCACGGTAAGGAACGGGCCCCCCTTCCCTTCCCGCCCACAGACGAGGCCTACTCTTCCCCAGGGAGGTTGGGGCACCTAGGCCGGAGCCTGCCGTTGCCACGGTTCCCACTCCGCAAGGCAGGCCTCGGTCGCATCCTCCCCTTCGGCACCCCTTGAACCGCCAGGGAACTTGGAGAGGCCCCAGCCCCCTTTGGCAGAGAAGCAAGGCTCCGGGCTTAGGAGAACTACATCTCCCACAGCACACAGCCAGGGCAGTTTAAGCGGGGTTGAGACAGAGTTTACAGTAGTACAGTGTTGACTCACCCTTTCACCGCCATGGCTCGACGTGAAGGAATCATAGAAGTTTATTGTCGAAGGTTTTCATGACCGGAATCACTGGGTTGCTGTGAGTTTTCCAGAAGCATCCTCTCCTGGCGTTTTGCCTATTTTTATGGCAGGCATCCTCACAACAACCCACTCATAGGAGTGATTTTTCCTTCTTGGTCTCTCTCCAGACTACAACTCCCAGGATTGAATAGCATTGCCCATGGCAGCTAAAATGGTACCAAACTTACCAGTGCCTACCCTCTCTCTCTCCCCCCCCCCCCTTCTGTGCTCCTCCGTGACCAGGCTTTTCCTGCCTTCCCTCTGGACTTCCTCCTGTGAAATAYATCCCTTTGAGATGCTGAATATCACCATGCCCGTGAGTGCAAGTCATGTTCTTCAGACTTGCCTTTGTGCTCATTGGAATTGTATTTATTTATTTACCCTATTTATAATCCCGCCTTTCTTGGAGTCATGTTGGCTTACATATAAAGGTAACAATTTGATGCCATGTAAACATACGTACATAATAAAATAAACATATATATTGGCGAAGGTTTTCATAGCCAGAATGACTGGGTTGTTGTGAGTTTTCTGGTCTGTATGGCCATGTTCCAGAAGCATTCTCTCCTGATGTTTCACCTGTATCAATGGCAGGCATCCTCTGAGGTTGTGTGGTCTTCACTTGCCTAGTTTCCAACAGACCTCACAACCTCTGGGGATGCCTGCCATAGATACAGGCAAAACATCAGGAGATAATGCTTCTGGAACATGGCCATACAGACCAGAAAACTCACAGCAACCCAAAACAAACATATATATTAAACCCCTATGCTAGCAGGACTGAAGACTGACAGGTCGCAGGTTCGAATCTGGGGAAAGCTCAGATAAGCCCCCTCTATCAGCTCCAGCTCCTCATGCAGGGACATGAGAGAAGCCTCCCACAAGGATGGTAAAACATCAAACATCTGGACATCCCCTGGGCAACGTTCTTGCAGATGGCCAATTCTCTCACACCAGAAGCAACTTGCAGTTTCTCAAGTCACTCCTGACACAACGAAAAAATTGTGCTATTCAAAAATTCTCTATGGGTTACTAACTGAATGCTTGATCCCACATCCGCATCTTTAGCCTTTTCTTGAAGGTCGGAGGGAAGGGGCTAATCTGATCTCATTAGGGAGGGAGTTCCATAACTGAGGGGCCACCACTGAGAAGGCCCTGTCTCTCATCCCCACTAACCGCATCTGCGAAGGAGGCAGGATCGAGAGCAGGGCCTTCTCAGACAATCTTAACCTCCTTGCTAACTCATAGAGGGAGATAAGTTGAGACAGAGTTTGCAGAATGGAACTCACAAGGGGGCTACAATGCTTGGCTTGGGGTTGTATTGGTCCCAAACACAACCTTGACGGGACTTCTAAGTCTGCCTGGTCCTGCTGCTTTGGTTGGCTGAGGCCTGTGCCCTGCCTCATTGTGTTCCGCAAACTCTTTACTCAGTCACTTTCTCATCAAAATGCAGCCCTTTCAGGGAACCCAGCTTTCATAGGTACATGAACAGTTATCCCGAATGACTTGGTTTGCTTTTGAACTGAAAACATCAACTAACTGTAGGGTAAGGAATGACAGTGTCTAGAACAGGCATGGCCAAACTTCGGCCCTCCTGGCGTTTTGGATTTCAACTCCCACAAGTCCTAATAGCCTGTTAGAAATTGTGGGAGTTGAAGTCCAAAACACCTGGAGGGCCAAAGTTTACCCATGCCTGGGATGGAATATCTCTACTTAGAAGCAAACATGAAGTAGTTTGTCAGGGAATTAAAGTGTGGAGAGTTTTTTCTTTTTGCTCATGCTTTGTTCCTTTCAGAATGGTTTTCAAAAATGCTGGTACTGTAAATAGGGGCGGAGCTCTTGTGAGGAATTGTTTATACAAACTTCTGTGATACACATTCACATATTTATACTGTTTTTACATATTTCTAAGTGCACAATTAACCTTGTATATGTACCTTTAAACATGATTAATCTGAGATGATCCTAATTGTAGGATAGGACAGCAAAGGCAGTTGTTTATATTTTTTTCTTGTTTTGGATGTGAATCACTACAGTTTATGCAAATTAGAATGCGTATATTACCTTATCAGTAACTTTCATTCCAGAAAATCTTGCTTTTTTTGCAGCTACTTTGACTTGAGTCATGTTTGATAGGCAGCCCTGTCCTAACAAAGGCAAGTTATAGTGGGTTGTATACAGAGGCAGTATATTTTACTGTTTAATAGCTCATTGGCGAGCATTCCTGTCTTGTAATTTGAACTCATTGGTTTGGAGCAAGAGAAAACAGATTGAGGAAGTAGCTGAAATCAGTGGCTTTTCAGGGTGAAAAATCAATGATGTCTCTCAGGCAACAGAATGGTCAGTTGATGGATGAGAGTTCTGCAAGCGGTCCTTCCGCCCCGCCCCGCAAAGGGAAGGTGGGATAGTTTGCAGGAGGGAGGGGATTCAAGCTGAGTTAGTGTACATTTATTCAAGCCCTCAGTTTGTAGACCCCTAAAAAAACTTTGGGGTTCCATCTTTCCTTTGTATTGTAAAAAAATTGCAGAAATATTTGAATATTCCTGAGTGGCCTTTAGTTTCCATCTGACAGCTAACATATACATTATTATGGTGAGCTAAGAAACACTGGCTGGCTTTACTCTAGACTCCATGGAAAATAAACAAATGGAAATATGGTGTGTTTTCAATAGAAGTGCCAAAGTAGAGAAGTAAAAGATAAAAGAAGGTGCTTTTCCCCCCGATAGTTCCCACTGGCTAAAAGAAACAGGAATTGGTCCTTCTAATTGACAGACCTCTCAAAACAAGCATGTTCTATGAGAGCTGATTAAAAATTCAATTATATCTGACACAGTGATCTATCCTGTAGAGACTCCATCTATAAGTCTTCTCAGTTCTGTTAGTCTAAGAAAGCATTTCAGGATACAACCATTTTTACAGACAATTTTTGGTCTTACAATTTTTTTTGGTTTTACAAACCATTTTTGGTTTTCTGAAGGCACATAATCAGATGTTTGAGATCTGTGCATAGGTTGAGACTTGTGTCCCATCATGTAGGCATTCTCTTTCTTCTTTGGTTCCCCACTACTATTTATAATGGAATAGTAGTGACCTACACATACCTTGTAAGACTTAAAAAGACATCTTTGTAAGTGAATGGTTTTTTTTTTAAACTAGGTCAGAGTAAATGGATAGTGTTGAACCTAAATTAGAGACACCTGAAAATAATGGGATAATCTTGAGCAAGCAGGTTGTCCTCTCAGGGTTGTTTTGAGAGCTCCTGAAAGTTACTCCTGTTTTAATTCCAGTCTACTAAATTAAGGAATGTGTTGCTGTGAGTTTTCCGGGCTGTGTGGCCATGCACCAGAAGTATTCTCTCCTGACATTTTGCCCACATCTATGGCAGGCATCCTCAGAAGTGAGGTCTGTTGGAAACTAGGCAAGCTAACAGGGCCAGCTAACACCTCTTCACAAAGGATCCCCCCAGGCATCAACCACCCAGGCTTTGAAGCTGCAAGGCCATTCAATGCTAATCAAGGTGGCCAGTTGCAAGATTCACACTTGCCTCAAGCAGACAGGAGATCTTTCTCCCATCCTGGACATTCCACAGATATATAAACCTCACTTGCCTAGTTTCCAACAAACCTCACAACCTCTGAGGTTGCGTGTCACAGAAGTGAGTGAAACATCAGGAGAGAAAACTTCTAGAACATGGCCATACAGCCCAGAAAACCCACAGCAACTCAGTGATTCCAGCCATGAAAGCCTTCAACAACACAAATTAAGAAGTGCTACCTTCTGTGAGACCTATGCCTGACAGGAATAGGAGAAGCTGCCATAGGATGCTGTGTTACACCAGATCAAGGTACTGGTCTGTGTAGCCCCGTGTTTCTAAACTGGCAGCAACAATCTTTAGACAGAGCTATTTCCTTTAACCATCTGTCTGAGTCCTTATGTGAGGGGTGCCATGGATTGAAGCAGGAACCTTCTACATGCAGAATACAAACTCCTCTGCTGAGCTTGATCCTTCCACCGTTGGTTTGAAGCCTATATATCCTAGTAGCCTAGTCTTCTTTTTTTTCTTTTAGGGTGTTTTGCGTGTGGGATGGAAAATGGATTTAGAGTGTTTAATGCAGATCCACTCAAAGAGAAGGAGAAACAAGGTAAGTTGGCTTTTCCATAGTTGCTTTGTTTTATGCATTTTCATTTAAAGTAATCCATCTACAGTAACATTTTGTGCACTTTTACTTGGAAAGAACTTCCACTGAGTTCAGTAAGACTTGCTCTTAAGTAATATTTAAGAGGAAGGAAATGACAAGCCATTCTCAGTATTCCTCATCTAAGAAAACTCTATGACATTCATGAGATCACTGTAAATCAGCAAGCGACTAGAAGGCATGAATATACACATAACTGTGTATAGTCTCGTAGCCTTAAAACAAGATATTCAATTTACATGAATTTCAGTGAATTTTAAAGCATGGCTGAATATCCATTGTCTCTTGGCAGTAATGTTTCCCAATTCATCAGGTTTTGAATATTTATGACATGATCAGAAAGTAAAGAACAGGTTAGATAAATGGACAGTGTGAAAGGTTTCATTTTAGTGTGGTACTTAGGAAAGTTTCCTCTTGAACAAATATATTACAGCATCATGCAGAAATTGCCTTGTTGACCTGTTGGAAAAGGGTAAAAGTCATGTAGAATTTGTGTGAGCATGTGTCTGTCAGTGTATGAATTTCATAGTTTTTTTAGGCTAGACTTCCAAGATCAGGCAGAATCTGGTGCCTTCAGGATATTTAGTCTTTATATCTCGAATGTAACAGTTTTATTTTTCATATGTTATCTTATAAAGTAGTATGTTATCCACAAAGGTTTATGACGTTTGTTGTCAAAACACTAGCGAGTCTTCACATTGAATATTTTATTAAAATTCTCTTTTCTTCACTAGAATTCCTTGAAGGAGGTGTTGGCCATGTTGAAATGTTGTTTCGCTGCAATTATTTAGCTTTGGTCGGTGGAGGAAAGAAGCCCAAATATCCACCTAATAAAGGTATAGTATTGAACAAGAAGTAGAATAATGTAGGGCTTCATTAAACATGTCCTACTTGTTTTAATTGAGCAGGTATTCCATCTAAAACTGTTTGAATGTCTTGCAATCTGAACAAATGTGGATGCAAGAGGGATATGAGAACCCTTTCCTTTTGATGGCAGTTCCTAGGTGGTCTCAATTTGTTTTCCTAGGGTCAAAAAATAAACACACTCTTAAATTAGAATGGATGATATTGTATCCAAGCAGAAATAAAATGCTAATAGCAGTATCTGGACAGGAGTCAGATTGGAGATGAAAGAATGAAATAAGAACAATTTTAAATTTGCTGTGACTAATATGTATAATTGGGACAGTAATAGCTAAAAGGAGCTCTCTACATATTGTTTGAGCACTGGCCCCAAAAAGAAGTTACACAACACTTACAGGACCACAGTCTTCCCATTCCTGCATATAAATTATGAGATTTTGTTGATCTATACTTGGGATATTCTGCTTTTCTTTACACTTCTTTAAATGAACCAACACAAACTACAGTTTAGGGTGTCATTGCTAATCATAGAGCTAGTTCCACAGGGGTATCAGTAGATTGCTGCAGTATAGTCTCAGTTTTTGTTTTAAGACTAATCAAGGCACTTCTACTACTGTAGTGATGATCTGGGATGATCTGAAAAAGAAGACTGTTATTGAGATAGAATTTTCCACAGAGGTCAAAGCAGTAAAGCTGCGAAGAGACAGGTGAGTCTGGCTGCAGTTCTTTTATTCATACCCAGCTTGTTCTGTACACTGTTTTTTCACAGAAGCTAAAAGCAAGGTGGGGGCGGTCATCGTAAACTAGCACTTCGGACATTCTTAAAACTGTTTTGGAGTTGATGAAAGGAAAGATTTGCTTGTCTCATTGGAAGTCAGTCTTGGGCAAAGAGATGTGCATGCTTCCACTATAGGATTAGCTTGTGTTATAGAAATATAATAAAAGTTTTGGACAAGTCTTGAGAAGCTTGGGGAAGAAAAGTGTGCTCCCTGTATCTCCTCTAAATAGCTGCTGTGATAAACCAATCTTAAATTGGCATTTTCAATGGCACTTTAAAAGTCAGTGTGTATCAGGGTCAAAGTGTCTTGTTACTGCTGCAAAGGTAATTTGGGTCATACTTTGCAGAGATAAGTGAGATCCTCTGCAGTTTAGACTATTACTACTGCCTTTAGATAGAATATGGAAGTAGTTGTGAAAGTCCTCTAAAATGAAGACAGGATAATGTTTCTAGTTCTGCCTTAAATTCAGCATTGTACGATACTCGATGGTAGCACAAACATATTTGTTGTTGCTTTCTCTATTTCAGAATTGTTGTAGTCTTGGATTCGATGATCAAAGTTTTCACGTTCACGCACAATCCTCACCAGTTGCATGTCTTCGAAACCTGCTACAATCCTAAAGGTTAGCTGCCTCTATTACAAAATCTGTAAGAAGGATAAAAAGTATTTTGCTATTTCACAAAGGGACACCATTTTACTCCTCTGTTGTATATAATGGGACTTGAGCATCCATGGATGTTGGTATCCATGGAAGCATCCTGAAGCCAGTTGAGAGTGCTGGATACCAAGGATCCACTGAACATAAGATCTGAAAAGCACCTGGAATGAAAATGGAGGTATAATAAGCCATTTTGCTTATATATCTAAAATGCTTGGGATTAGATGTGTTTTGGATTTTTATCAGAGTTTGGAATAAATAGAATCATAGAGTTGGAAGAAACCTCAGGGGCCATCCAGTCCAATCCCCTGCCAAGAAGCAGGAAAATTGCATTCAAAGCACCCCCGACAGATGGCCATCCGGCCTCTGTTTAAAAGCCTACATACATTTGTTTATACATAATAATGAGGTACCTTGAAGATCGGACCCATGTCTAAACACACAATTTCTTTGCACTGAACCATGGTGCAAAGATGTCACTATCTCAGCCATCCATGGGGATAATTTTAGATTTTGGAGTATTTTGAATTTCAGAATTTCAGATGAGGGATCTTCAATCTGAATAGACATGAAAAAACCTGACTACATATTTGCATAAACAAGTAGCTTACTACTTTTGCAAATATCATACCCTGATTCCTAAGCTTCAACTAATACCCACTTCACAATACAGTTGAGTATCCTAGGAACAATCAGAGCAGTGTTGGGACTTGGGGAAATCTCTGTTTTTGGTGGTGTATTATGTTTGAGCATTGCATTTCAACATTTTCCATTGTATTTCAGGCCTCTGTGTCCTGTGCCCAAACAGTAATAACTCCCTGCTCGCATTCCCTGGAACACATACTGGACATGTACAGATAGTAGACTTGGCAAACACAGAAAAACCTCCAGTAGATATTCCTGCTCATGAAGGGATCCTAAGTTGCATAGCTCTCAACTTGCAGGGAACAAGGATTGCCACAGCTTCAGAAAAAGTAAGCAAACGGTTGTGCTGTGCGGCTGGTTGGAAAATAGCCCAACACTAACTGACCTTCAGTAATATTTTCATGAGAATTAGTATCTCATTTGTATTAATTCATTTGTTAATCCTGATAAACAGAAATTAATTTTGTATCGACTGGTGGATTTTTGAGTAATTTGCAATACAGGCAGTCCCCAAGGAACGAACAAGATAGGTTCTGTAGGTATGTTCTTAAGTTGAATTTGGATGTATGGCAGAACAGGTACATTTTAAAGTGTAACTCCAGCCAAAAGTATGTGTATTTTTTAGCTTTGGATAGCACAGGGAAGGGTGGTATTTGTTTTGCTGCCTGTGTCCCTATTCAGAATATTTCACCTCACTTTCTGTCCCTGTTATAATTGGATTTTGAAAATTTTGGCTTTCTGGGGGGAAAAGGATTGGTGATAAAGATTCATTTGGAATTCCCTTTTCTCCTTGACAACTCTTTCAGGAGTGGAGTTCCCTCCCTAGGGGTCGATTTCTCTTACTTTTGTTGTCTTACCCGTTCTTAACTATGAGGTATTTGTAAGTCAGATGTTTGTAACTTGGGGACTGCCAATGCTTAACAAAAGGCATTTATTGATTTTTTAAATATTTAATATTAACTTGTTAATATTCCCTGTCTATGATAGATCAGATGAAGGTTTGTGCATGCAGACCATTCTAGTGAGTGTTGAGATATGAAAGATAAGTAACTGTAGCCTAGAGACATAATTTTCGTAATGGATCCATTTGGTGAGAGCCAGGGGGGAGAGGGAGAAAGAAATTCTACATGCCTTAAAAGTGTGCTTTCCATTAATTTAGAAAAGTCTATTGGTAATGTTTGAAGGAAGTTTTTCTCAAAAAACTACAATATTTAAAATTAGCTTTCTGAGAAGCATCAGTGTATTGTAGGATTACACATCCTTTTTTTTGCAAGCACTTGTCAAAAGACAGATCATATATGCAACATGAATCTCCTGTAAAACTTCTGATAAGCTCTTCTGCTATTTATATTAATGTTTTGGCTCTTCCCCCATGCGGCAAGCTCTCTCATATGCACTCTTTCACACCATTAAATGAGCAAGAGTTTATATATTCTGCTTGTGTAAACTTTATTTTTGTTTGTCCATTTCAAGTAGTAATTTCTTTGGTACTGAACTTGGGGATATTTATGCGTTGGAATTCCCAACTCATCAGTAGGTTAATATTAAATATTTTTTAAATGTTTGATTTTTTTATAAGACTGGAGATCAGTGGTTCTCAGCTTCTGCTCCTCTATATATTTAGGATTCTCAACTTCTCTCCATTATAGCTAGCAGTCAAAGGATTTGGGTGCCGATTTTCAGATTTTATGGGTGAAATAAAATCTGAGAGTAAGAGGAAATTAAGGCAAGCTTTCTGTGTGAGAAGGAAAATAATGTGCAGCTGTAGGGATGAACTAAAAGCATTGTGAAAAGAGTATAATTTGCACTTTCATCCTTATATTAGATAGAAGATATAGTGCAACTTTTCATTTCCTTATGAATGTTTGTTGTTTGTTTCTAGGGGACCCTTATAAGAATATTTGATACTTCATCTGGACATTTAATTCAGGAGCTGCGAAGGGGATCTCAGGCAGCTAATATCTACTGGTAAGCTTTGCTCTGCTAAGGAATTGAGGAAGCCTCCAGCGACATATTTTACCTGGGGCCTCTGAGAGATGGGTGCACAAATGAAGGTTTGCGCTTTAAGATTAGTCCAGTTCTGAGTTAGTGTCTCACTAACATATTGGGGGGGGGGGGGGGGGGGGGTTAGTTTCATTTTGAATAAAAACATTACATCTTAAAGAGGACAAGAGCAGTACACTTTCCTAAGGCTTTATTGTTGTTTTTAAGGTGAGAATTTATTCTTTAGTACTTGTTTACGCCTCCTGAATATAGCAGGGTGTTAGAAATAAAAGCATATTTTCAATAAGGGTCCTTTTCACTATGGTTCTTTACATAAAATCTGGACGAATCAGTGTCTGTTAGAAATGAATAGAATATTTGCTGGTAGTATGGGGTATTTTGGGGTGGGGGGAAGCAATGCATAAATAAATGTACTCTGAGTATACAGTTTGGTTGGCTGTGACTGCATGTGAGATAGTAAATTAATAAATTTGAAACCCATATTATCTTGAGTTGGAGAGAGGAGGGATTCACACAAAGTGAACATATCACTCAGAAAGGCAAGAAAGTCATAGATTATCTGGAAGGAAAGCTTAACTCCTGTTAGCCTTCTTGTAGACTAGAGCAAATCAGGGGAAATTGAGAACTGGCTACTGTCCTACCATTTTTATGCTTCAGCCAGGATTTATGTCATTATCCACATGGAGAATGTTTTTGTTTGTTTGTTTTAAAGTGACCTGCTACTAGAGGGTAATTGAATTTGGTTGATTTGGCAACTACTAGAGAACTTCATTATCTTCATCCTCTTTTTTCTAAGCAGAACTGGTTCTTAGATTTTGGTTAAACATACTTAGCTATCTTCAGTGGTTCCCAGGCTGCACCAGTGCCTCTGTCTTCTCATCTTCAGCACAGATTCTGAATGTGACTGCAGTGTATCATTTTGATCTATGGAGTCCCATGCCTGTGGCCACTACAGAAGGCAAGGCAAGAAGAGAAGGCCAGTGCCATTTTCTAGCACCAGGCTCCCAGGGAAAGCAGGATGGTGGTCTGAACCTAATAGGAAACAGCCCAACTGTTTACACAGGTTCAAAGCATAGAAAAGCTCCAGAGTATACTGATTTTTTAAATGTGGTCTTTCCCCAAGTTAAAGAGACCCTGTGTGTTATGTGGATGCCATGGAGTCCGTTCACCCCCAGGCTGATTCGTACGACCTGTATACACAAGTACTACAGTTTTCATCTAGAATTTGCTTCATTGTGGCAATTGCTCTCTTGTCTCCCAAGAGTTTCTTTCTTTTGTTCTATCCAAAGGCGTCTCATCCAGTGTATTGGCCATGTCACCACCATCTTCATGGAAAGCATGTTTTGAAAATTTGCATTGCTAGAACCAGATCATTCAGACAATAATTAGACTCCTTTTATCTTCAGTGCCAGGTTTTCAGATCCACTGTAGCTAGGTGTATAGAAGCGATATCCACGTGGCCTATCACCTTGCCAAGGGCCTAGGGTTGTGACCCCAAAGCTCACTCTACCAAAGCAGTGGCCACATCTGCCACCTTTTCCTTCAGTGGTTTGCTTTTGGAGATTTTCAGAACAGAAACATACTCTGGGGCACTGCTGCTATTTTTGTCAGGCAGCATAAAATAGATAAATTCAAATCTGCCGAGACTGTGTTTGGCAGATGGTGCACAGGACCTGAGCACGCAATGGAACAGCCACTGCGCTCATCCAGAGGCTTAAATATACCCCATTTTGGATTCCTCTTCTCTGAGAATGGCACCACAAGGCCCTTTACTGTGGAGGTGCCATCTGGGTTGGTGGAAAAATAGTAATCCATCTTCTTCCTTTGTGGCTGTCTGTTCATGAGGTAGTTGGGTTTTCTCATGGGAGGGAGTGTTTTTCTTCCTTCCTTCCTTTCTTTGCTCCAAATAGGAAAAATGCATTGGGAGACTGTAGAGGTTATTGCTATTGGTTTTTTTAAAATATCCAAATGGCATTTCTGTTATCCCAGACTATGTTCTGGTAATTTCTGATACCAGCTGCAACATTTGATTCCTATCCTTTAGTGTTTATTTTTTTATTCTGAGACATATCAGAATAATATGTTCTCCTTTTAATTTTTAGTTAGTGCTATAATGTATCTGTGATATTGTACATTTGATCCGTAACTCTGATACCATAAATAAATTCAGAGGGGAGAAAATTTGCTCCTCAAATCTAGAAGAGCCCAGTGTAGGTCTGACATTCCCCCCTCAAGAATGGACACGCAAGTGACAATGGCTTGCAAAACATGGTAAACCCCTAGGAGCTATGACATGAGATCTCATGTTCTTTAGACCAAACTGTAAGAGCCCTTTGCCTTTCTATGCTGCATTTCTTTGTCTTCTTTAAAGCTTGGCTAGCATATGAATTGAAAACTTTGAGATGGCCAGTTTGAGATCACATGCCTCTGTTGTTTCTCTGGACAGTGGAAGGCATAACTCACTTTGAATAAAGCGCCCCTTTCTACAAACTCGAAATTGAGTAATGCCCAATATCATGTTCCTCTCTTTAAATTGTAGGTGATATGGAGGGTTGTTTTTTTTTTAAATGAGGTAATGTGGAGAACTTTTTTTAAAAAGGTGTGAATAATATGCTTTTTTGCTGTGCCTATCATGTATTACTAAGCTGCCTGGGTTATTTTTTCCCCACTTCAGATTCTTACAGTTGCTGATAATAAAATGTGTTTTTTTAATCGCTGTTGACTTCATTCTTGGTATTATTACCAATGTAACTGTCCAAAACCCTACAGTCTGAGAAGGTCTAGATATCCTGGGTAGGGAGTTATACCTTCTCAGAAGAAAATCTATTTTAATGGAAAGTAGCTGCACATATGGTGTTATTTCCTGTAAAAGCTGCTAGGTTTTCTTTAACATGTATTTAGAAATGCTGTGTACCTAGTGTATAAAGTTTTTGTAAAGCTACTCGTTTGGTGTTAAACAGATTTGTTTCTGACCTCCATTAGCATTAACTTCAACCAGGATGCTTCTCTCATCTGTGTGTCCAGTGACCATGCCACAGTTCACATATTTGCTGCTGAGGATCCTAAAAGGAATAAACAGTCAAGGTAAGGGGAATTGCAATGACACATAAGTAGTGTATTAATGGTCATTTTATTTAATAATAATAATAATAATAATAATAATAATAATAATCTTTATTTATACCCCGCCACCATCTCCCCAAGGGACTCGGAGCAGCTTACATGAGGCCAAGCCCGACAACACATCAATAAAACAGAAAAGCAATTTAAAAAATACAATTAATATAAATCACATATAAAAAATAACACACAAGGATTTAAAAACCTATGGCCGGGCTAAATGTAATAGTTTAAAATTTAAAAAATAAACGCTGGTCATAAACAGAGGTAAGATGTGTCTGGTAAGAGGGTTTTTAAAAAAATGAAGGGAGAGCAATCCAATGAGTAGTTAAACTGCTTCTGAGGACATTTTAACGCCTGTTCGAAGAGCCACGTCTTCACCCGCCTTCTAAACGCCAGTAGCGACGGGGCCTGTCTGATCTCCGTTGGTAGGGCATTCCATAGCCGAGGGGCCACCACCGAGAAGGCCCTGTCTCTCGTCCCCGCCAGCCGCACTTGTGATGCTGGTGGGGCCGAGAGCAGGGCCTCCCCGGACGATCTTAGTGTCCTCGCCGGTTCATAGGCGGAGATGCGTTCGGAGAGGTAAGTAGGGCCGGAACCGTTTAGGGCTTTATAGGCTAACGCCAGCACTTTGAATTGTGCCCGGTAGCAAACTGGCAGTCAGTGGAGCTGGTGCAACAGAGGAGTGGTGTGCTCCCTGAGTGCCGCTCCTGTTAGCAACCTGGCTGCCGCACGCTGGACCATCTGAAGCTTCCGAGCAGTCTTCAAAGGCAACCCCACGTAGAGAGCGTTGCAGTAATCTATACGGGATGTAACCAGTGCGTGGACTACCGTGGCCAAGTCAGACTTCCCAAGGTACTTCCCACATAAGTGATAGTTTATTCAGGGAAGGCACATTGGAACAGTCATGTTTTCAGGCTCCTCCTAAAGACTGCCAATGTGGGGCTTGTCTGATATCCTTGGGGAGTGAGTTCCAGAGTCGGGGGCCACCACCGAGAAGGCCCTCTCCCTCATCCCCACCAATCGCGGCTGCGATGGAGGTGGGAGCGCGAGCAGGGCCTCTCCAGATGATCGAAGAGATCGTGTGGGTTCGTACACAGAAATGCAGTCACACAGGTAGGCGGATCCCAAACCATTCAGGGCTTTGTAGATAAGAACCTGCACCTTGAATTGAGATCGGAAAATGAACGGTAGCCAATGGAGCTTCTTAAACAGGGGGTTGACCACTCCCTGTAAGTCTCTCCAGTTAGTAACCTGGCTGTCACCCGTTGTACCAATTTGAGAATGAAGAGTTAGTACTTACTGTGAAGGATTGTGGAGGTACAGAGGAGAAACTACATATGTGTTGCCAGGCGTGTTCCTTCTTTCTCCATTCCATTAGTTTGAACAACAAGTGCATTGACCACTCATGGAAATTGAGTAATGCATTGACCAATCATTGAAATGGATTTTGAGAAAGGATCACAATGAAGTTGATTGTTCCCATACTATGCCTCAGTCCACAAGGCTTCTGTGGTCTTGGTGACTGCCTTGTTTGAAATCATTGCAGACAAATGCAACAAAAGATGATACATAGTACCTGAAATCTGAGGGAGAAATTAGGATCTCAACTGTATGAGATATTATATACTTAACAGAAATAATATAAGTTTGGAAATGTTGGACAGAACCCTTCTAGGTGGTTGCAAATACATAACCTGCAGTTATGCATTTGCATCTGCTACATATTCATGATCCCAATGTAGATCTGACAGTGAAAGCCCCCCAAATCCCATTTGCAGGCAGTCCCAGAGTTACAAACACCCGACTCACAGTTAAGAATGGGGGTGAGACAACAGGAAGTGAGAGAAATCTACCCCTCGGAAAGGAAATTCACTCCTGGAAAAGTTATCATGGGGGAAAGAGGTGCCTCCACTGAAGCTTTATCATTAAATCCCTGTTTCCATAACAAGCCACATTTTCAAAATCCAATTATCACAGGGACAGAAAGTGAGGTGAAATCTTCTGAACAGGGACACAGACAGCAAAACAAACACCACAGGGAATACATTTTAGGCAACACTTTGAAAAATTATGTTCAGGTGATTCTCTTCACACCCAAAAATTACTCATTATCTAAAGGGCTTACAAATTATTATGATTTCTGAAAAACATGCTCCTCTATCCTCATCTTGCTTTACTGCATATTTTAACAGGACCGAACATTCAGATACAACATAAAGGCCTCGTTTCTGTATTGTTTTAAGCAGTCAGGGAAGGTATAGCAGACCAATGAAAAACAGGCAACTCACTGGATGTATTTCTTCATGGTATTCAAATTTAAACTATTGACTCAAAACCCACCTCTGGCACTTTACTACTGTCCCCTGCTCAGAGATATAGTACTCTGTCTCATATTGCCATATTACCCCTGTCTTTTGTCATCTGGCACTTGCACTTTATCTATCAGCCCTGTCCTCTCAACTGATTGTATCGGCCCACCCACCTGAGCCCAGAATTGTTTTGCTATTTCAAGTGACTGCTTGTTGCTCAATTGTTGTTTTTATATTGCCTTTGAAAATGGCTAGTTCTAACTCAGTCCTATACATTGTCGAATATGGCCTTATTCTTCCTACCAATTACCCAGATCATTTCCTCTACTCGGCCCTGGAATGAACAGCCACAGACCCATACCTAATATTATTGTTGCCTGCCATAGCATTGCATTTAATTACCGGGCCCCCTAGAATTTTTGGGCTTGCACAAATCTTGGCCCGGCCTTTTAATTTTTTTTAAAATTGCCTTGAACAGGCAGGATTACTTTTAATATATGTGTGTTATGGCGACAATTTTATGCATATTTTGTTTTGTTAATCTTATGGTTATGTTGTTTTTACTCTTTATGTTCTGTGATTTTTACCTGGAAACCACTCTGGATCCCCTCAGGGAGATAAGAGTGGTATATAAATAAAGATTATTATTATTATTATTATTATTATTATTATTATTATTATTATTGTGTTATGCTGTTGTTTGTTTTATGTTGTTGTTTTATGAATTTTAATTTTAACTATGTTGTTTGGGCTTGTCCCCATGTAACCCGCCCCGAGGAGGCAGCTTACATGGAGATGGAGGCGGGGTCCAAAAAAAAGTAAATATTATTATTAGTATTTGAAACACAAGATGAGTCCACAACAGACAAGATCACTCTGCTGGCTCTTGTATTCGATAACATGTTGGACACTTCTTCTTCTTCTTCTTATTATTATTATTATTATTATTATTATTATTATTATTATTTCTATTCAGACAAGTTTTTGGCTGTTAAGCTGAAAGCTGGTTTTAACCTGTGAATCCTGTTTATTAAGTCATGTGCTGAAATTATTTACTTTTAGATTTTAATGTATAATTTGGTATTAGATTATATTTTATTCACTAGCTCAAACCTTATCTGTAGGAAAGGTGAAATATAAATAAAATGAAATTTTATCAAGTCAATAATTAAAGTAACTGGTGGCAATTTGCTGTGGTTCTTGAAATACTGAAGGAACTTTCTGTCTCTTTCAGCTTAGCATCAGCCAGTTTCCTGCCCAAGTATTTCAGTTCCAAATGGAGTTTCTCCAAATTTCAGGTTCCCTCTGGCTCTCCCTGCATCTGTGCCTTTGGAACAGAGCCAAATTCTGTCCTAGGTAAGGTGTGCATGCAAAAAAACAAAAACAAATGAATTTATGAATTTAGATGACTGCTCACAGAAATAGGTTTTTATAGCACTATCTTGGGTTTTATTGTGGTTCCATTATTTTTGTGGGCTTTTAAATCCACATTTATATACATATGTCCACTACATACAAGTGTGAAGGAGTTGATGGGGACACCAAATATGTTCAGACTGCAAGCCGTGAAGGGCCAAGGCTGCTACTTGAGATCCCAGCATAAAAAGGCAGCTAAATGATTTATCAAAAACCTGGGATGGGATACACCATGGCATAGAATGGAACTAACTTTAAACAATACAAGAATCCTCTGCACTGGTTAACATTACATCTTTATATATATGCGTGTGTGTGTTTGTTTTATTGCCGACACAGGTAGAATGATATCACAATCCATCACCATTTCCGAATACATATCAAATACTGTTTGTTTGTTTACAATATTTATTTCTCACCCCAAAGGGGACTCCGAGCAGCTTACAAGTTATATGTACATACAATGTATAACTATTATTAGCATAGCACAATATTAGTATTATGTATGTCTATATTGCACTATACCACTACACTCAATATTATTAGTAGTATTACATGTAATGTAAAATAATTAGTATATTATTATATTGCATCACAATATTAATATTATATGTACATATAATGTATTATGATTATTAGCATAGCACAATATTAGTATTATATATTACTATATTGTACTATACCACTACAATATTAGTAATTTTACATGTAATATATAATATACAATTACTATATTATTAGTATATTGTATTACATTATAATATCAGTATTATATGTATATACAATGTATTGTATTATTAGCACAGCACAATATTAGTATATTATTATATTTTTGCTGGGAAAGGGCTCCCAACTGATCACCCAACTGTGGTTTTTTTAGTTGTAGAGCAGAAACTGATCAATATATGAAAAGCAGCATGGCTAAAGTGCTTCTCTTTCTCTCACTCTCTCATGTAGCAATTTGTGCAGATGGCAGCTACTACAAATTTTTATTCAATCAAAAAGGGGAATGCGCCAGGGACGTCTATGCTCAGTTCCTAGAAATGACTGATGACAAACTTTGACTGAACAGACATCTGTAGCAGGGGAAGGATACTGCCCCCCTCCCAATTATTCTCCTCCTCTTCCTCCTCAAGAAAAGCCTCTGACTATCATAGACTCAAGAGTGCTGCTCAAGATGGGACCGATATCCTCAAGAAGCCCAAGACAGCATGATATGGAGTAAGCCACAAGGCAGAGGACTGATACGTTAACTGTCAACAGCTGGTTTTACATGTTAGATTTGGCTGTTGTTACTTCAATTTTCGTAAAGGTTCTGTAGCCTATGCCAACTGGGGTTTTCTCCATTGTTGACGAACAAAGTTTAGCGCCTGCTAAACTTTGTTCGTAAGGACTCCTCAAAAAGAGATGAAAATTGAAGTTCTGATATGGTGGTTTGAGATGATGAGAGCGAACTATCAGACAAGTTTGGAACATTTATACCAGCAGCTTCTGCCTTTACATGTCTTGTTTCTTCCTAAATACAAACAAGTAATCAGCAAGTGTTTTGAGTTCTACTTGCTCACAATAGATAAGAATGCTCAAATCCCCGTTTCCATACTATTATGAATAGGTATTAACTTCATAATGTCATTTCTTAGCGGTGCCAAAATAAATATCCCAAAACATAATTATTGTTGATCCCAATAGCTGTTTTGTAGGGCAAGAAATAAGTGGCGTAGAACATTGCTGGAGTTGTGAAACTGACGCTGTGGCTGGAAATAACCCTCCATCCAGTGGAAACCTTATTCCATTAATGTTGGCACTTCATGTTGTGTAAGAGGCTGATGACAACAATTCGATGGGCATCAAATGTTATATTGTATTTCTATAGCTCTACGTTGTCCCTCACAATTTCACAGCAATCCTACCATATGTTGAAAATAACTAAGCTGGTGCCTATAAGAGTGGAAACGGAAAAAGCCAGGACACAATTGTATTTCAGGTGTTTTGGGAAAGGATGTATGTAGACACTTAATTTGAAATCACTGTCATCTTCCCCGAAGCACAAATTCAGTTATCTGTTTTCTTAATTTTACACAAGCTTCAAAGTTAACTGAAGTCTTTGTTCATCAAATTGTAATGTATTGGAATTTGTCATTTAACGAAAGCATATATTGAAATGTCAATTTGCATGTTGCTTTTCAGTGTATATTTAATCATGGAAATTGTTTTGCACATCTTTTGTAATATTCTTTAATTAAAAGTGACTAATTTACTGTATTAATGTTATGGTAACAATAACGCACACTATAGTTAGCACTGCATTTACTGAACATTTAATACGTGACAGGCAAAAACTATAAAACAGGCAAAACCCACAGACTATCATAATACGAGACTTAGGAAAACAGGATTCAATCCCACATCTCAGTTGTTACAATTTTTTTGCTATCAGTGAACTTACCTGTATGTTGCGTGAAGCATGTTTCTTCCTCATCCCACTGCTGCTGACAGAACTCTTGTAAATGTTAGTAAGTTGATGGCAAAACTATTTCAGCAGAGGGTTCTCATGCAGTGTGGTTTTCCCGTTCTCTCTCCAAAAACTGCTCAAGGGAAAAGGCACCTCCTGCAGAAGAGTGGAATGGGGCCTGCAATGCCTAATCCAGAGTTGATGGAGTTTGACTTCTGTCTTTCCACTAACAACATGACTGAGAGTAGAAGTATGCTTATACCAATATGTAACTCCTATTAATCCTGAAATACTTCCCCCCCCCCCCCCCCCCCCCCCCCCCCCCCCCCACCACCACCACACAGCTTGGGGATCTATCGCACCTTTTGATAGCTTTCTTTGCCACTTGTATTGTATTTCTAGATTCTATAATTAACCTTTTCAGGGACAGACTGCTCAGTTGTTCTATTTCATCTCTTTAATGTGAGACAAGTTTTGTAGAACTTGGCATTTATAGACTGTTGCTTGAGAAACCAAGCAACAATCTATAAATGCCTTAAATAGAAATGGGCAGTTCTGGTGTCATGTCACTCGGGCTCTGATTTTCTGTACACTTAAGTATTTTCTGCCTCAATTCCACATCAGAATATAAGTATTTTTAGCCACATGACAACTGCGTATTTTTTTTAAAAAAATCCCTTTTGTGCATTTGTTCAGGTGTTTGAATTTCCAAGCACTTTTTGATGAATAAACTATTTTTTACATTGCGAAGTTCAGAAATAAGATATCATTATGATAAGCTCCATTCCATTTTGTGTAAGTTACAGAAAGGAAAATTTCAGTTCACATAGCAAAATGAACTACGAATTTTTCATATTACTACAGCTGTTGACTGGAATAACCTTGCGTTGCCATCACCCTTCAGCACTGATTCTGAAAGGCATTGGAATTTTACAGGCACTTTAACAATTGGCTAATTATCATAAATAAATTTCCTTTAATCTTTTTGTCTTGTCTATAGCAGTGGTTCCCAACCTGTGGCCTGTGGACCACCAGTGGTCCGTGGTCTCACCGTTACTACACTGTTGCAGTGCAAGCAACTGGTCTTGCAAAATGCTCTTACAGTGCCGAAGCTTATTAAATACGGGTTTCTGTGGGTGAGCAGATGGGGACTGCTGGATAGCATATGTTCTGTATTAGAAATGAGCTGATGTGATCTATCCAGTACAATTTTCTGAATAAACCCCAAATAACCAAGCCAAATCTAAAAGCAACCAAAAACCAATTTGCAACCGTTTTGGTACTAATGTTGGAATAGTGGTCCCTTGTCAAAAAAAGGTTGGGAACCACTGGTCTATCAGATGGCCCCTTATCCATGTTCATGTTCAAAAAAGTGTTTGTGGGCCTCTCTAGGTCCTCCAGTATGATTTCATGGGATGCTTCTGGTCCAAGTATAATATAAGTACAAGGACCACTTTAATCAATTATTTCAAGGACCCATGCTCGGTCTTAGAACATATTCCCTGCAGATATGGCATCACACTCCCTGTGCATATATTTCTATTGTCACCAGAATTGGCAGGAGGAACCCCCCTGATGAATGGGCAGAAGTTCACTTCCATGATACTTGATGGTTTGTTACTTCTCTATGACATATTTGATTTTTTTAAATACCAGTTTACGTCAGCATGAAATAATGATCGTTTGGGCAGTTACAATACTCAGCAGATCTTTGGTAGAAGCATAATCCAATTATGGAGACCGCAGGGATGATTCTAAGTCAAAAGCACATTGCAAGCAATTAACAATATAATCACGAAGGCACATACAACACTAAGACCAGAATTGATGATTAGAGGTCATGTTTCATTTTTCATCATACATAGCTTATAACAGTACCACTGTTCAGAATTTACACAGAGCCGCCTCTTGAAAATAGCTGAATGGATGATGTAAAAAGCTGTAGTCATGATAGCCCTGTTGCCTAGCAGCACTTTGCCCACATCAATTCAGTTGCTGTTAGGACATTGTGAACGTATGAGTTCAAAGTATTTCATGTCAGGAGCTGTGTTCTTAGACCCACTTTGTCCAGGTATCTAAAGGAGTCCTCAAATACATCTGTCTTCTATCAGAGTGAATTAAAAATATATCTGCTCTCAGCCACTGAGAAGCAAGCAGCAAGCAACACAAAATAGACTGTTCAACTGCACCCAGTTTGGGGCATTTCATTTTAAGAAGAATACAGACAAGTTGGAGCAGGTTCAGAGACGAGCAACAATGAAGATATGAGGTATGGATAACAAAACAGATGAGCAAAGGCTAAAAGAGCTGGGTGCGTTCACTGAGAGGTGATACGAATGCCCTCTTTAAATATCTAAAGGGATGTCACAAAGGGCAGAGCACATATTCCCTGCTACCTTAAAAGGTAGGATCTGGCTTAATGGTTTTAAGTTACAGGAGGGTAGATTTCTACTGAAGGAACTTCTGGGCGGTCAAAACAGTTGAGAGGAAACCAATTACCTACAGAAGTGGTGGCGCCTGGACAACTATTGTGGGGTATGTGTAGCTAGTGTTCCTACACTAAGCAAGGGGTTGGACTCTAGCCTTAGAGGCACTTTCCAACTCCATGGTTCTGTGTTTTTATGATGCTTTGGTGCTTTTTGGTTTTTCATCTTTGTAAAGTGTTAAAAAGTACACAAATGAGAGCAAGCCCAATATTCCTTAGTGCATCAGCACTGTGACTGCATTTTTTTTACTCTGCATAAAAGCCACGAAACTACATTAGCTAATTTTAATCTTCAAGGCTTCCCATCACTGACATTGGGGTGCTCTAACAGCAATTCTAATCCCATATTCAGAAACTGCACACGCCTTTGCATATGCCAGTGCCATTCAAAGTGGACTGATGCTGGTCTATGAGCCACAGGCTACTGGTTCACAGTTAATTTCCAAGTAACTATGTAAATAGAACAAAACATAGCACAATATACTGTCAGAACCTGGCACATGGGGGGGGGGGAGGTTGATGACCACCACCTCAGACAATTTATGAAGCACTGACCTATGCAATGAGCCTGTTATTCAATTTCTTTAAAGCAACAGTGACATTAAAAAATATTAGGATATGCTGAACTATTAGGCGGGTTTGCATATAAGGTATTTGTGGCTGTAAGAAATTTCTGCGTGTTAAAATCGTGCAAGCATTCCCAGCAAAAGCGGAGGACAGGCCAAATTAAAATTTCAGTAAAGTATTTGGGGGTTTTCTTATAGCCAAGTAGATGGACAAAAATGAAAAATAAAAGGAAGGTAAAACAAGTGGTTCAAACGGAAATGCACCCATGTTGGAAAATAACCTGCCTTTTTATCCACTGCTTGATTCCTGCTAGGCACATTGAGCTTCCCATAGTCACACAGGACAAGAAGAATTCCTTAGCCAAGGGTAGATGGCAACGGGGAGATACTACTACCTGCTTGGGTTTTAACTTCTTCTCATGGACATAGAGAATTAACATTATGAGGATTAAATCCTATTTCAATATTTTACATCGTCTCTGCCTAGCTCATAAACTACACTGACTATATCAGAAATCTTTGGGGGTATGAGTTATTTAGAATGAATTAAAAGAATTTCATCAGATTTTATTTTTTTATTCAAAAAACTTGCAGCAGTTTGCCTAATAATCATGAAATAGTAGTTTTATAATCATTTTGCCAATATAATTCAATATAATTACTTCTAAATAAGATAACCACAGCAAAGAAAATAGAATGCTGCAGATACAGAAATGGTTTTGTTTCACCCAACTTATAGTGGCTGTTATAAATTCAGCTATTGTACATCCATTTTTCATAATCTTTTTAATATGTATTATCTGCATTGACATTGTGACAGCTCTACTGTGGGGGTTAACATGATACTTGGGACAGATTTCTCATATTTGGTCTTCAGATAAAACAGTTTCCAAAAACAAAACAAAACCCTGACTAAATATAAGCCATTGCAATCCATTTCAGTCCATCATGAAAATACAGATTCCTCTTGAAATGAAAAGAAACAACCCACATAAATAATGATATAGCCCAAAAAAAGGACAAACCAAAGGTTAAAGCCCCGTCTTCACATTTAACTCAACTTAATATGTGAAGGGACAAGACAAAATATGAATTAAAGACAAACAAACTGTCTTAGCTTTTACTTCAGTTTTGAAACAGAAGGTGGATTCTACCATCACAACTTTGAGAAGTTGCCTTTAAAATGTTCAACTCTGAACACACATTAAAAAACACATTTATTATAATAGCGTAGCCACTGTTAGAAAACCACAATAGCTACTTTTAAGACCTCAGAAGGCCTGTGTAGGACATCAAAAGTTAGGGATAAACTCATCAGATTAATCTCTACTAGTGGGTGCTTATGCTTAAAAATACTAAATATCTGACAAGATATTTTTTCTTTTTAAAAGGACTTGTGATAAAGAACCTTCTTTTTTTCCTAAACGAAGACCAGTCTGTTATTTTAAACATACACAATATTCAGTGAGACTCTTGTTTTACTTGAGACTGGGAAAAAAATGCCAGGGACAGTCAAACGTCAACACAAAGTAACAAACAGCAAAAGGTAGCAAGAAAGAGAAACAGGTAAGTGCAGCTCTGGTCAAATTCATAGCAGTTCTTTACGTCAGTTAACGGCTCATTTACACTGTATTTCTAATCAGTTACATGCAAGCCCAAAGAAGCATTTGATCACTACACAAGGTAATAAAATTGGATTAAATTTATCAGGCAACTGCTAAAATATGAAAATCTGCAGATGTAACAAGTTAGCTTTGTTTGAACTTTAACAGGACAAAATTAAATCATTCCATTGGTTTAAAAACCCTACATTCAGTTTTACCAAACGAAACTTCACATGAAAAGTATTGTGTGATTCCAAAGTTTCTGGAGTAGAAATGGAGTGATCTGAAATGTCAAAGACCCCATTATTTTGAAAAACAAAAAGAAAGTACACATCAAAAATTTCTAATTCCACATGTGAACAACAAAATACTGCATATCTACCAACAACTGCATTGGGTAGGTTGTTATGAAAGGCTAGCTGCCAAGATGTAGGAAATGCCTCCTTGCCCTCTGTTCCCTTTGAGGAATCTACAATCATCTGAAACCCAGTCTCACGAAGCTTTTATCATGCTGTGATGTACTCAGGTAAATCCATCATTGAGATAATCCAACAGAGGTTTGTAAAGTTGCCGTCTTCCCCAACTTTGTATCTCTCAACACAGAGTCACTTCAGACGGGCAAGGAGTAGGGAGGGGAAAGGGGGTCACAGCCTCTGGAACAGGAGGTTTCACACGTCTTCTGTGGATGTGGTTGCGGGGCGTGGTTTAAATTAAGGAGTCCTAAGGCCACCTGTGTTTCTCAGTGCTGAAAGTTGAAGTCACAGGGCCCCTATCCCCACCATAAGGGGAAATGTTCAATATTATGGGTGTTAAAATGTCTCCTTTTGGCACCATGGAGCATTATTTTAAAAAGAAAGATTCCTCCTAGTTCTGGCCGCTGTGTTCACTCACTGCCACTGGTGGGGTTTCAACATTCACAGCTATAACTATGCTTTCTCCGTCGTCTGTTTTGATACGTTTCAATTCTTGCTGTTCAGACTGGTCTCCATTCTGGCGTTTCGTTGGAAGTGAAGCTGATGCAGATGCATGGGTTGCTAACATATGGAGAGGACTTGCGGCAGCTGCAAAATAGAAAGGAAGCAGAGACACACTCAGCCCAGGCAAAGTTCATACACAGCACCTTGAGAACAAAAACAAGGTTGACCCCAAGGCCAGCACTTGGATATCATGAAAACCTTAAATCTCGCATATTTAGGAACTATCCTAATTTTGCTTACAAATACAACAGGTTCTAGTTTTTCACAACAGAGACAAGTAATGAAGCCCAAAGTACTCAGAGCATCTTACACACTCCCAAAGATGTGAACATTACCAGTTGGTTTTGGATTCTCTTTCCAACATACAATATATGTGACTTAAATTTCAAAACTAGATGGCTCTGTGGAATGCAGATTTTTTCTAAAACTGCGTTTCTCAACCTGGGGGTTAGGACTCCTGGGGGGGAGGTCGTGAGGGGGTTTCAGCGAGTCGCCAAAGACCATCAGAAAACATATATTTCTGATGGTATTAGGAACCCCTTTAGCAGAGAAGCCTGAAGATCTCTCCACCTGCCCTTCTCTTCCTTTTTGGAAAACAGATGGCGAATCCTCCCACCAAAAGCCCTTCTCCACAGTGATTGGCCAGCCTCTCAGCCAAGGGGAGGGCTGTTTCTAAGACAAAGTGGGGAGAGGACAGCAGCCATGTTTGGTGCATGGCAGCATAGTGTGCATGGGCAGGCAAGGAAGAGTGTGCAAGGCTGGAGGGAGGCTCATGCCAGAGTCTCTTCAAGTCATGGGGGTTCTATGTGGGAAGTTTGGCCCAATTCTATTGTTGGTGGGGTTCAGAATGCTCTTTGATTGTAGGTGAACTATAAATCCAAACAACTACAACTCCCAAATGACAAGGTCTATTTTTCCCAAACTCCACCAGTGATCACATTTAGGCATATTGAGTATTTGTGGCAAGTTTGGTCCAGATCTATCATTGTTTGAGTCCACAGCTCTCTGGATGTAGGTGAACTACAACTCCAAAACTCAGGGACAATGCCCACCAAACCCTTCCAGTATTTTCTGTTGGTCATGAGAATTCTGTGTGCCAAGTCTGGTTCAATTCCATTGTTGGTGAAGTTCAGAATGCTCTTTGATTGTAGGTTAACTAGTAATCCCAGCAATTACAACTCCCAAATGACAAAATCCACCCCCCCCCCCCCCCCCCAACTCCACCAGTATACAAATTTGGGCATATTGGGTATTTGTACCAAATTTGGTCCAGTGAATGAAAATACATCAGGCATATCAAATATTTACAATACAATTCATAACAGTAGCAAAGTTACAGTTATGAAGTAGTAACAAAAATAATTTTATGGTTGGAGATCACCCCAACATGTAGGAGTCCCCAGTGGTGCAGTGGGTTAAACCCCTGTGCCGGCAGGACCGAAAACCGACAGGTCACAGGTTCGAAACTGGGGAGAGCGCAGATGAACTCAGCTCCAGCTCCTCATACGGGGACATGAGCGAAGCCTCCCACGAGGCTGGTAAAACATAAAAAAACAAAAACAAACAAACATCCAGGTGTCCCCTGGGCAACGTCCTTGCAGACAGCCAATTCTCTCACACCAGAAGCGACTTGCAGCTTCTCAAGTCGCTCCTGACACGCCAAAAAAAACCCCCACAACCTGTGTATATCTTTGGTTGAGTGGTGATCGGAGAGTGTGAAGTGGCTGGAGGTCATTCACTCATCTCATCTACTGATGCTGGCCAGAGCACCAGAGTAATCAGAGAAGGAAGTAGAGGGGGGAGTGGACATTATCCCTCCTTTCCCCTCTCCCATGTCAACCTGGCATCCCTGCCAGCACCAGTAAAAGTGGAAAGTGATGACCACCAGTAGTTTCTCGCCTGGTGATTGCTACTAAGACGACGACACCAAGGGAGCAGTAAGGGTAGAGATCCAGTGTTGCCTCTCAGACCCCCTCTATCCACCAGGATGGCATGTTACCACACAGTGCAGACGGCCACCTCCTGCCAAGCCAGCTGATCCAGAGCACCTCACTCCAGTCAACTTTGAGGTACATGGCCCATGTAGATGGGCCCCTAGAATACCAAGATACTAGTTATGTCTAAGTAAGTCAAGTGCTTAAGAATGAATGCTTAAGAATGCTCAAGAACTGTAGGTTGCAACAATATTGAGCCATTACAAATAATACATTCTGGGCACCATAATTATACAAGGACATTTGCAGCATTCCCATACATCACTCCAAATGCTTACCACTGTTGGCCTGACCTTGAATTGCTGTGGTGATGGGTACTATGTGTGTTCCGTTCTGGGTGACAGTTTTTATTGGTAGCTGGTGTTGACCTAGAGGTGTTTGTTGTACTAGAGTAACTGTCTGTAAGGGTGTCGTCTGAGATGTCTGAATGATCCGACTAGCAGCTCCTAGAGTTGTATGGCTAATGGCTGGTATCGGTTCCACTTTAACTAGAGATGTGGAAAAATAAGGACATGTTAAAATCAGGTTTGATCTAAAGTACGGAAAAAGTCAAACTTTGCATATCTTTCTTTTTTAAAAAAACAGCATGGCATTCAAACCAGTTTTTCCATTTATATCCAAGGGAGAGAAAAATATTTGGACTCCATTCGCTCTAGGGAAGAGAGAGCCAAATTCTCACCTTTCAAGTCATTGTGATCTCCATTCTCTTGAAGTTCACCCTTTGGTTGGGTGACCACTGCTGCTTGGGTGACCACTGCTTGTCCAGCTACAGTGTAAGTAGTTGCTGGTGCTAATCCAGTCACATTAGTGACAGACACAGCTGGGATTTGATGAACAACATGAACCGTCTGTACTACAGGCTGCTGGGATGTTGATGTTGTCACAGGAGTAGCAACAGTATATGTGACAGGTTTCAACGTTTGGGGTAGCTGCCTCTGTACAGTAATTAAAACAGGCTGGCTAGATAAGGGTGATCCTACCAAAGGAAAAGCACAGAAAAGGTGGTTATGTATTTTGACATACAACCATGAACAATTTCTTCCTTAAGTGAAAGGAGGGGAACTTTTCTTCCTTCCCTCCAGCAGCTTCTACAGCTAACAGAATAATCAATAATGTAGAGTCAGAAACCATATTTGTTCTGTCTCCAGAAGTGTTGCATTCACTAAAACTAGTGAGAGCAACTGTTAATACAAGAATCTATGTATTCACTCATAAAAAGTCATTTATTTTTCATTTCATATTTTCATATTATTATTATTATTATTATTTTCATTTAATTTAATTTATATATTACCTTTTCCCATCACAGAACCCATATTTAAGCATGGAAGGCCAGGAGCTCGGTGGTAAAGCATACATTCTGCAAGAAGGAAGTCCTAGGTTCAATCCTCAGCTTTTCCAAGTGCAAGTGTGAAATTTCCCTGCCCGAAACTCTACTGTCAATTCCCATCTGGCTTCACCCACAGGCCCCAACACTTTGTCATGGATAAGCCTATTCACCTCTACAGCATAGAAGACAGAACAGGAGGGGCATCTATGCTATAGTAGACACTAAGACCAGCAGTGTCCAACATCCTTTGAGCCTCTGCAAGGAACACAATGAACAAAATATTCTATGCTGACACTCTTCGAATCAAACCAGCTGCTGGTTGCTCTCCACCAGTTTGCCAGCCAATTCAACTACCATCCTGTATCTGAAGAAAAAAGGCAGTGGCAGAGTCATATGGAGTGGCCAGATGTAGTACTGAGAATACGGTACATATACTAGTTAAGTTGGAAGAGAAATTACTACTGGATTCTTAAGCTCAAACAATTATACTATTTTCATGATTCTATGATAATTGCTCACTGGCCAGGGAAAGACATATATCTGAAGGGAAGTCCTACAGAACAAAGCTTCTTAAACTGTAGGTTGCAACCTCATTTGGGGTACCCTAACTGAATCTGGGGGTTGTGAAAAAATGGTGTACCTTGTCACCTAGTGGCTGTTTCAGACATTTACACAAATCTGTTAGCATTAGCAAATGCCTCAGCTAGACTTCATAAACAGAAAATTACCCTGCCTTGTTAAACAAACTTTGCAAATGCTGATTTTGCTTGATGGCTATTTATTGTTTCAGAAATTATTCCCTTCAAATTTTGATTCTAAAAAACTAAGTTGGGTTCAAAAACCATGCACACTTTAAATCAAAAGCGTCAGTCAACTGCCATTAAAAATTCAAGAAGAATTTGTCTGCAACCTGGGTAGAAAGGGAAGGACTAATACCACCTATTTCTGGGGTGAGGAGGAAAGGATATTCATTGTTTGCAACTATTGCACAGACCACAAAACAAGAAGAAGGTGGGTATGAGTTCATTTCAGACACCTGGGACCTTTTAAGTTGGAGGCACAGACCCCCATTGTGGTCCCCCAATTAAGGAGAAAAATTAAGAGCCAACAGAATATATTCTGCCACTTGAAGTTGGAAACCAAACATGCCAGTATGGTATGAAAAACACTGAAGATGCACTACATTTTGCAGTAACAACTATTCGCACAATATTTAATTCTTCGTATATAAATAAAAAAGCACATTTGTCTCAGTCGCATGCAAATTTGCTTTTAGCTTTAATAAATGATAAATTTATATTATATCAAATAATTGTTTTAAAATAAATGTCTTTATAAAGTATTATTAATAAATGTTTTATTTGTATACCTATTTTATATACCATATACTGTACCTAGGGTCATGTCAAAAATTCTCAGGCAAAAGGGGGTTGCAAGTTAAAAATGTTTAAGAAGCCATGCTCTAGAAGTTGGAGCAAGTTTGCTTTGTATTGCTCCAGGGACTAGGACACAAACAAAGGAATTCAAATTGCAAAAGAGAGAGAGAGAGAGAAACCACCTGAACACCAGGAAGAACTTCTTGACACTAATTGTTGTCTCCTACTGGAAGTGACTTTAAACAGGTGTTCAAACAGACTTTGGATTGCCATTTCTGGAGAGTTCTTTAGCAAGGAGTTGGATTAGATGGCCCTTGCAGTCCATCTATGATATTTAATTTTCTTTAAAACAACTACCTTGAGTAGACCCTGAAAATAAGACTTATGCTTGACTGTTAAACAAAATCAAATATCTTTACTTTTTCGTCTCTTCAGACTACACATGCATTTCATGATAAACCACAGTGCTTTTTTGAAAAAAAGAAAAAATTGTTTGTTTGTTTTTAAATGCAAGCATTTTCTGGAACCTTGAAACACTCTAACACAACTGATTGTTTAGAAACTGCCTTTAAAAAATCTCTGCCATGGATTCAATGACTGGCCTTGGGTTTCTCTTACAGCCTCCCAAGACCCAATGATGTAGCACAGGTGTTAGTGCTGGACCAGGAAGATTCAACCTGACAGGGTTACTGTGAGGATAAAGGGGAAAGAGCCATGTACAGTACCTTGTGCTTGCTGAAGGAAAACTAGGACAAACACCCAACTAGCAAATAAATTAATAATCACTCAACCACGATCTGTAGTAATGCAAATACAGATTTGCTCTTGTACTTGGGGACACATCCAGTTTCTACTTTATGGGTGCAACTCTGGTTCTCTGTGGCTCCTTGAGCCACTATCTCTGATCAGTTTATATTGGTGGACTATGAATTTCTAAGCAAACACAGCAAACTTCAGAAAGCAGATTAATCTGTGAACAAAGAATGAAACTTCTTTAATCTGTAAGCAAGGAGTGAAACAGGGTATTTTAAATTAAACCTTGCATTCCAGCCATGTGTTTCTGCATGACTATACTATTGGGAGACAAGACACTACTTTTGGAGCCAATTCATATCTGAACTTACTTTTCCATGTTTCTTTGAATAGATCATCTGAGAATCTTACTTGGGAGAGACACAAGTGTTCTGTGTTGAAAAATTTGAACATAGTATGCTATCATATCTTACAAGTGTAGCCATACAGATGTCCATGATGGTAAGACAAATAGCCCATTCATATCAACAGGACTGTCCTTCCTAAAATCAGACCCGTGTTGGCATAGAAAGGAGACACTTTGTGACTTCTTGAGAGCCATCAACAATTGGAGTAATCAATATGTGCAAAGGTATCTCATTGCAATAGCCTTCATGTCACTTGAAGAACATCACCATGGACACTGATGTGTGTTTCAACTCTTGCTTATATGTTGATGATTTACTCACAGCATCTCAAAAGTAGGCATTTCTATCATTCACCAAAAATAGTACATTTACACATTTTATTTTCATTTTAATTCATTTTTTTAAAAAAAGCAAAGTCTACCTCATGTTCTCATCAGTCTACATCCAGTGTTAATTTTATAATATTTGAATACAAAAAACTATGAAAGTCTCACCTGGGGCACTCTGTGCAAACCGTGCTTCTTGTATTACTGCTAATTTTGGCTGAATAGTGTTAGGCTCAGGCTCCATTGGGACAGGAGACCCTTCCCTTGACAGACTCTCTGGGGTCTGCACACCACTTGAGTGAGCAGATAAAACCCCAGAATGATTAGGGGAAGCTGGGGCACTTCTGCAAATAGATAACAACACAAACTACTTTTAAAATTAAGAATGGTTAGGATTAATTATCCACCTCTCTCTCACACAATCATTTAATGCACACATTTTTCACAAGAAATTCTATGTTTGCTGATTAAGTGGAACTACACATTCCTTATTGTGTATGCATCTCTGAAGTGAACTAGATGGCTTCTGCTGAAGAGCTTAAGAACATGAGGTAGTTTTTAAATTAACAGAACTGTATGCCTGGTAGGATCATCAAATACAAATTTCTCTAAATCAGGTATTTCTGTCATAGCTTTGGTCTTATCTGTTCTCCTTGGCTTTCCTAACAACAGAGTTTGCTACAAATTTTAACTATTTTAATTTAAGCATTATCAGCATTATCAGAGCTGCCACTTTCTTTAAGAGAAATCCTTGCATAAACAGATGTGAACTGAGAAGTATTATCTGTAGTGAAAGAATTGCTAACTTTTCATTAAATATTTTGTCTTAAGTGCTTAGACATGATGAAATCTAGTTAACTCTTAGTACAGCTTAAACTATTAATGAAACCTTTTCTGAAAATAACTGTTTGAAAAAGGCTATTCCCAAAACAATCAGAGGTATCTGTTGGTGCCAGCTGGAAGAAACAAGTACTCCCTTCATCAAATATATTAAGTTGCCTCCATACTTAATCATGCTTAAATAAAACATTTCTGAACTCACAAAAGAATTACAGTTGGAAGAGATACAAGGGCCATCCAGTTCAATCCCCTGCCATGAAGAACACAAATTACTGATGACTCCTCACTGATTTCAATAGTCTACTTGAAGCATGGTTAAGTCTGGCTCCAACTCACTATTACAAAATGCAACTCAACCTATGCTGATAGGTAGTCTTATTCCCAGAACAAAGGGGATCAAGTCCGCACCCTTAATCTAAAGCTGTATCTTCCCAACACTTAACTCTGAAGATTGTCTTTCAGAACAAAACCATTACTGCCTGCTTCTTGTGGTAGGGCTCAAATATACAGTACTTTGCACAGGACACTTGGAACTAAGCCTTCCAAAGTGCTTTTAATAGGGCAAATAGTTGGTTTGATCAGTGTTTTATATTCTGTTATAATGTTGTTGTTCTTATCTTGCTTTGTTTTATATTGTTGTTTTACATTTTAACGTGTTATGTTTAACTGTAGAGCCATCCTGAGTTCTTTAGGGGAGATGGAGGCAGAGTTTAAAAATAAAGTTGGTTTTTTTTAAAAAAACGGCTTCTGAACTAGCTAATGGTGATGGTGAAGGGCTGTTCAGCTCAACTGATTTTTGCTGCAAATCAAGCCACCTACCCAGAGCTTTTTAATTCAGTGCTTTCAAACATGTGTTTGTAAGGGATGCAAGAACTCCCTACAGTACAAGGGACAAAGCTAGCTGGATACAGTGGCTTGGAGCACAGAAAAAGCAACCCAGGGGAAGCTACTCCCTGCTTTACAGTTTCTTCACTATGAAGCATTTATTTCTGGTTAAAAAAAGAAAAAAAATAGATATGACAAGAGAAGTTCAAAAGGAGTATTAAGAAGGCATGGCTCAAGCTACATTGCAAGCCAAAAATAACAATTTTCAATCAAAAGGCCATTTTGAATTGTGTTTCATTTCTGCTACCACACACATTGACTCAGTAAAGAAAACCTCTGACAAAGAAGGCCCTTTTTACAAAGTGGTTTTTACATTCACCCATTCTCTCTTTTACTCCTCATGCTCTGTCTAGTTGGAAGGTCTTTTTGTTTTAAGCAGCATCAGCACTGGAGAGATGGAGAAGGCAGGCCGGAGAAAAGTAGGCATTTGGCTAGGTTGCAGTTTGTGTCTTCAGTAAAAATGCAATGAAGTGTCAAGTGGGATTCTACTCCAAGCAATCTTATTGCAACAGTGCATGCTAGCCTGCAACAGGCAAGGTAAACAGCAGCCTTTATTGAACAGCATTGAACAGCAAAATAAGAGAAAAAATGGGGAAAGCAGATCAGCCTGCCTCGGGCAGCTGTCCCCATCATATTAAAGAAAGGTAGATTTATATGCTTGGCAACCAAAATGGAAATCATGAGGAAAGTAGAAGCTGATGAAAATTGAGAAAATCTATGAAAGAGGATTTCAAGTTGTCTCTAGAAAATTTAAAATGTTATTGTTTATTTAAGCACATTTTACCTACTCTGGTTGTTGCATTTACTGTTTGAACATTCAATCTTTTGGAACATGTTATACTATTGCTCTTTTTATTAAGGTATATAAAAAAAACTTGACCTATTCTATGTTGTTTCTATTTCTAGTATCTTGGGGGGGGGGGGGGTTTGGGGGGGGATATTTTTATTTGTTGCTACTGAAGAAGGATTTCCCAGCAACACTTTTAATTGAGGTACCCCTGGGGCGATCACTTACTGGACATTTCTCTAAGTAGCAACTGTGCGGGAACAGAGAATTTAGGCAACTGCTACACCACTAATGCAATCGAACACTTGGGACAATGGAGCAGTGGCACCGTGTGAGCCAAACACATGCAAATAACCACCACAGGGAATGTTTGGAGGCAACTGAGAAATACACTGTGCGACATTTCAAAAAGGACTAAAATTGAAAGAAGGCAGCATTACCAGCCAATATGAGATTCTGGGGGAAATGTAACATCTCAAATAAGGTTATCTGTTTATTTATGTATTGGCTTAGTACATTTCTATACTGCCCACCAACATGATGTAAAACTCACCGAACCTCAAGAAGAAATTTTAATGGCTTCTCAGAACAAATCACTCAGGTGGAATGTCCCTTCCATATTTGGAAAGAGTGTTGCTGTTACAAACTTAGTTTATTTTCACTTGAAAAGAACTGTCATTACTCCATACCAAGAAAATCCTGGTTTATACTTAAGGTGACACCCCTGCAGGTGTATATTTTTAAGTCCCCAACTTCAATTCCTTACCTAGAAGAGAGAGGTCCCAGTGGGGTTCTAAAGCAAGGTACTCCCCTCGGCCGCCTTTTCCTAAAAGCCTGCTCTATCAATTTGCTTTCAGAGGCAGGATCTATCCTCCAGAAGGAGCCTTTGCCTGGTTCTTCCTGGGAACGTGGTACTTTGATGAAATAGCGATTCAGAGAAAGATTGTGACGTATTGAATTCTATGGGATATAAAAGATACACAGAAATCATCCATCTCTTCAGTATCAAGCTGGAATGTGGCCTAATGCAAAGATCTCTACTCCTAACACAAACAGTCCTCAGCCATTACACATTCATTAGGTAACTCAGTCTTTCATTGTGATTTTGGGGGAGAGCGAATGAGATTATTTATACACCCACAAATACACTACCATTCTCAGATCCTCTGCTCTATTAACTATTAATGGAAGTATTAATGGAAGTTTACTTCACGTAAACCATTCAGAGATTTTGTTGTGTCAAGTGGCATATAAATACTTCAAATAGTATATTTCTCAAAAAACCCAAGATTTAAAACTCTTATGGGGAAGCTATTGGCATTGCTTAGTGGTTTTACATCATCATATCTTTTTCCTTAAACCTGTCCACAAACTCATTTCCTTCTTCACCAACAACCTATGCCAGTCTATGCTTTCAAAGCCATCATGGTTGTGCACTACATTGGCTCTCAAACTTACAGTGTGCTAAATCTCTGTTACACATACAGCAATGTCTTTGAGATTCTTCAGAATCAGAGAAGATGAACTTTCTTGAATTAGAAAAGCGTGGAATATGCAGGCAGCCTCTGACTGCACCACCGTGGACAAAAATATAAGGAAGATATAGATGTCAATCTTAAGGCATTCTCCACTAAATTTGTATTTTCTTCACCCATTCTAGTCAGTCATATAATATTTCCCATATCTGTGTCACCACTTTTGCATACCCCATGTCAGTCCAACTTGTACAAGAAAAATTTCCAGAGTCAACTTCACTCTAACAGCTATTAACAGGCCCCTTGCAAAGTCCAAGGCAACATCAAATTAGGTCCATCTGCTAATAGAATGGCATCCACCTGCAGAGAAAATTATCCTCCCAGCATAGACCCCAATTCCCTCAACAAGTGTGCTGTGGCAAGCTGAGGGCTCTTCAAAGAAGATTTTGGAGGCACACAGGATGCAAGGATGTTCAAATTTTGGGCATTGCAAGCTCATGCAATGTCGAAGGTACCTCTAAACAAAAACATTCATATCAGAGTATACATTATTCAGTTTTGAGTGTTTCTGCTAGTAGAACCTGGAGAAGACAGCACAGAATTCTCGATTACGTAGCGATGGCATCTCAGGCAGCCGTGTTACTTTTAACCTGCGAGTGTCCTAGACATCTAGTTCTGGGTACCACCTTTTTAAACCCCACTCTCCCTAAAGCCATGGCATTCTTTGAAGCTGGGAATTAGCTGAAAATAAAGTCTAGGCTGTTTTGGTGACAAAACATAAAAGAAAGAGTCTCATATTGCACCATTTTAGAAAACTGAAACAATTAGTGGTTTTATTTTTGAAAGCTCCAAGGCTTATTTTATAAAATGAAACAGGGAAAACCATTAGACACTCATTCAATCATTATTTTATTATTATATTTGAAACCACACTAGATAGATTTACCTGCCAGCCCTTGTCTGCTGTCCTGTAGTAAGGATAGTTTTTAGTTATGTGCGTATAGATTCCATTTAGTGTAAGTTGCTTATCAGGTGCCATGGTAATTGCTTGTACTATTAGTTGTGCATAGGAATAAGGTGGCTTTGAGTCATCCTACAAAAAAAGATAAAATAGTTCCATTACAAAATCAGTTTATCCCTTATCCCTTTGATAACACTGAAATATCCGTTTCTATTGATTGCAATATAAAAAGTAAAGTATGAACACATCAGCAGTAAATAGAAACAATCTTTACGACACTATTTATGGATATGAAGGATCTTTATGACACTGCACATATAAACAACTCATGTTCTTGCAGTGCAGCAGCTCTGGATCCCCCAGAGGCACACAATGTATTGACCCTTGGGGTCTATGAATACTTGAAGAAAAGTTATGAACTTTTACAGTTAAAAAAGCAGGGTGGGAGGGAGAAGAGAGGCAAAAATAGTTCCATTTTGATTATATGGAAAACTATGTAGGGAGAGGTGGCAGTGAAGAGAGAGGGACTATCTTACACATGCATAAAAACTTTTCTCTCTTACTTTTCTTATTTGTACACAGGACAAATGTATTTGCATATGGATAGTGATTGATGAGAAAAGACAGAGAAGGATGTTCTGTTGAAAAGATGTGATGAGAAGGAGGAGGAAAGAGGCTGAAGGCTTGGAAGAGGGATTGAGTTGGGGTGAAGAAAAAGAGACTGAGGGGAATTACATTTTCTATGTTAACTGGTTTTTAAGAAGTGTATCAGAGTAATAGAGACTATGAATGTGTATTTGCTGAAGAAAAAAAGTGAAGCAAAATCTTTGTAGTCTTACATTGTAAATTATATGTATTATCTACAACTGGGTCACGGTGCCAATGTTTTTTTTCCTCTTGTGTCAGGACTGACTTGAGAAACTGCAAGTCGCTCCTGGTGAGAGGGAATTGGCTGTCTGCAAGGGCATTGCCCAGGGGATGCCTGGATATCTTACATTACAAAATCACACCATCGTGGTCACTCCAATAACCACCACCCATGACAGTCCCACCTGAAATGCTCACACCGTTCCTCAGGTTTTGTCAGAGGCTTCTCCCATGTTCCCACATGAGAAGCTGGAGCTGACAGACAGGAGCTTACCCCACTCCCCAAATTTGAACGACTGACCTTTTGGTCAGCAATCCTGCCGGCACAATGGTGTGATTTTGTAATGTAAATTATATATGTACTATACTTGAGGAGCTGGTTTCCAAACAGTACCAAATCAATCTAAACAAATTTTACAGGAATAAAAAAAAAACATGCTGAAGATATGCATTCTTTTGCTATAAAATGCAATTTTCCAAGACCTGTACCAAAGGGATTTGATACATTTTAGTTTTGAAGTCACGAAGAGTCGGAAACGACTGAACGAATGAACAAAGTTTTGATCTGTTCACAATATTCGACTTCTAGCTACCACCTATAACCCATTTTTCTTTTTTTTTCATTTTGTAACTTTTAGAAACAAACTCCACATTTCTGTTTAAAATCCCCAGAGCATCTGGCAACATAACCTAACATTACAATTTATTCTTGTAATGTTAGGACTACTTTTACTTAGTAATTAGAGCAGTGTTCTATTGCTCATTTTCAGCATGTCACACACAAGGCTGCTAAGTGGTAGAAAGGATTTCTGTTTTGTCACGCTGTTCACACTTTTAATTAATATGTTATTCAAAATGTGTTAGGTTTTCCATGAGAAGATATTTTTCTTTGCATCCCACAGTCTGCACCATCCACAAATAAAATAGAAATTATATGACAAGCAAATCTATATGGATGCTTTTGAGTGCAGGCTGTTTTTCAGTCTGAATCCCTAAATCATATTTAGGGATTATTGCTACTTTTGCGTTTTCTAACCAAGTCATTTCCATTAGTGTAAAGAGTAGACCCGAGTATCCGTTTTACCATATGAATTCTCATCAAAAATTACCTTTGGGCTATCTCCCCCTGATGCTTCTTTGTCATTTTCTGACTGTGAGTTATCAGCCATTAGATGTAGGTCAGATGATATTACACGACCCATTTTGTACCCTGAAGAACCTGCGCCACGAGGACTAGATGGGCAGGAATTTGCAGCACTGGGGAACAGAAAGATGAGTCAGCTATGCCACTATTGAGTAATTCTCCACAAAATGGTATATATCAAACAATCTGATACATTCAGTAACTATGCAATTAAAGAATCTGATATAATTTCTACTGGAATACTTTATTGAAACAACCAACAGACCAACTCACCGTCATATGCTTTTGGTAGCTTTAGTGGAAAAACAATCACTGAGACCTCAAGTATGAAAGTAGTAACTATTTTATGAATTTGAAGTAGCCACACATGTATAAATTCTAAGGAACAGTTCTTTAAAGTTCAACTTTACACAACGCTATCTTCAGGGTAGCTTAAAACAGCATGTCGCTAACAAGTGCTGTTTCCAATACACATAACTGCTCTACTCAAAATGTATAACTATACAAGGAGCAACAAATAAAGAGCTAATTTAAGGTGGCTGAATAAAAAAGCAGGAAAGAACAAGAATTACAATTTCTTGCCAACAAGCCAATGCATTGCTACATGTAACCTGACTGCTCCCATTTGCAGTGTGAAAAACTAAACAAACCTGTCACTCATGGTGTATTTACTGAAACAATCAAATCTGTCAACAAGTACTATTCCTCAAGAAGCCTGAGRAACAACCCTACTATAGGTTATTTGGCAAGTTTAGCCATTTAATTTTACTGCTCTCCCCCCCCCCCCCGCCCTCACCTCTCCTATGACATTTTAGCATTTATTAGTATACACACTGAACTGAGATCTGAAAGCACATTTTATTTCAAATCTGAACAGAATTTTCAATTGTTTAATCAATTATTACTAATATTAAATGAGTCTGTTTGAAGAAAAATCAGCAAAGTTATGTAAATCAATTTACTTTGCAGGATAAATGTCTTTCTACTGGGAACAATTTTCCATCCAGGTTGTTTTCAATTGTGTTAAATGAAAAAAAATGCAAGATACTATGGCACTGCACCCCCAAACCCACAGAAGACGTTAAACGTGTAATAAAGTTATAAGTTAATAAAGAAAAGAATTTGATCTCTAGATCTTCCCTCATCTTGTTTGCATGTGCATCAACAATAACATGTATGGTAGCGTGTCCCCTGAGGAAGATGTATATAATCACAATTACTCCTCTTGGGACATATTTAAGTTTTGTTCACATTGGAAAGGATAACTTTAGAAGCTGCATGGAAGACTGCTTTGATGCCAGAAATCACATTTGAAACAACAAATGATTCAGTATGTTACTCTAGCCTAAGCAGAGGTAAAATTAAATTCTGAAGTTCTATATTAATAAATTATGTATGCATAAAACCTAAATACCTGATGGTTCCTGTAGGAGAAGGTAGGGGGCTGATCAGATGAGCCATGTTGTCTGGAATGTTTATTGTTAGGGGAGATATCTGGAGTTGTACAGGTTTCACTGGGGACTGTGGGGACTCCTGTTTTTCTCTTTTCTCATTGGATAAAGCTGTAAATGTAATCTTGATGTTTGTACTGGGAAACCTGAATGTACACCTGCAAAATAAAAGCAAAATATATGTCTTAACAAAGAAGATATAAATGTTTGTACAATTTGGTCAATGGCACTCTAGCCTAAACAGAGGTAAAATTAAAATTTAGGATTATAGGTAATTTGTCATCAAAATACAGAATAAGCAAATTGCTATTTGAACTAAAAAAAATAACAATTGTAACACATCATCCTGAACACAGAAAACCAAAATTTGGCAACCATCGCAACACCAGCATGGAATCTGAAAGGGCAGTGTGAAACCCACTGAGAAACATTAACTCTGTACAAATCTAAATAATCTCTTCACGAAGAACTATGTTGCAATCTCAAGAACTCCAGCTTTAATGCAACCAACACGTTCTTAGACGTTTGTCTAAGAAAAACAAAGAACAGTCTTTTTAAAATTTTAGATATATCTTGAAATAGACTTCTTGAAGAATCTATACCAAATATAAGTTATAGTTCATGCAGATGGGGGGGGGGCTGTTCAACACTATAGTATCACTCCTATATCTGTGTGGTCAAGTTAAAATATTCAGATCTTCTTATGAAGGTAGGGGTCATTGACAGCTTACAAGCGATCCATCCATCCATYCATCCATCCATTCACACACACACACACACACACACACTTTATACAGGAAGTACAGTACCCGAGTTACAAATTATAAGTTGCTTACCTGTAACTGTAGTTTCCTGAGTAGTCACCTGTGAATTCGTACACTTGATATCTTCGCGCATGCGCAAGCAACTTTCGGAACCTTCTAGAAATAAAAGAATGCCATCTAGACCCGGCTAACCCCGCCCCSCTCTCCSCGAGTATAAGTACCCCATAGGCGGGGTTAGCCAACAGTTCTCTTCCACCGCAAGGCAGCCAGAAGGCGTGGCATGAGCTCGAGGGGAGGAGGGCGGGTGTGTACGAATTCACAGGTGACTACTCAGGAAACTACAGTTACAGGTAAGCAACTTATAATTTCCTGTCGTAGTCACTGTGAATCGTACACTTGRTAGACTGGCGAGCTAAGTGTACAGGATGGTGGGTGTCATGCCACCGCTGAGAAAAGTACTGCTCTACCAAACTGGGTGTCCCTCTTAGAAACCACATCTAGTTTGTAGTGAGATACAAAGGACAAAGGAGAGGCCCAAATAGCTGCTCGGCAGATGGTATCTAAAGGGACCCCTCTCCAGAAAGCAACTAATGTGGAAACTGCTCTGGTCGAGTGTCCCCTCACGGGGAGGGGAAGTTCTTTGCTGGCCATCTTGTAAGAGAGCTGTATTGTTGACACAATCCATGAAGCCAGTCTCTGCGGAGAGACAGGTAAACCCAGTACATCAGGGCGATATTTGATGAATAGTTTGTTAGATTTCCTGATAGAAGATGTTCTATCCGTATAGAACGCAAGAGCGCGACGGACGTCGAGTAGATGTAGATTCCTCTCTAAGGGTGAAGTAGGATTCTGAAAAAGGGACGGAAGGATTACTTCCTGTGAAGTGTGGAACCGTGACAAGACCTTGGGCAGGAAAGCAATGTCAGTCCTCGGAACTACCTTATCTGCGTGGAATCTGAGGTATGGAGGATCTGCCCTGAGTGCACACAGCTCGCTAGCGCGTCTGGCAGAGGTAATGGCCACCAAAAAGGCAGTTTTCCATGACAGGTGAGTGAGGCTGACAGTTGCCATGGGTTCAAATGGAGGTTTAGTCAAAGCAGCTAACACCACCTCCAGGTTCCAAGAGGGAACGATGGGGGTTATGGAGGGCCTAATATTCATGATCCCTCTCAAAAAGGTCCTAATCAAGGGATCTGTAAAGCAGGAGGGAAGACCCTGTTTCCTTCTAAACCAGGATATGGCAGCGAGGTAGCATTTTAGGGAGGAATGTTGTAAACCTGCTTCGGATAAAGATGTCAAAAAATCTAAAATAACTGGGATAGGAGCAAAGGCAGGATCTAGCCCTCGCGATCTTGAAAAGGATGAGAAACGATTCCATTTATACAGGTAAGATCGTCTGGTGGAGGATCTGTGGGCTGCTTCAATAATTCTTAACACTGTGGGGGACAGGTCTGAAGTGTAAGATAGTTGGCGGGTAGGATCCTCCATGCGGTTAACCTCAACTTGTGCACCTCTGGGTACAGTACTAGGTCCTGTTGTGAGGTTAGCAGATCTGCTCTGGGAGGGAATCGAAAAAATATTCCCCGTGACAGCTGATTGAGAAGGGGGAACCATGGCTGTCTGGGCCACCACGGTGTTATCAAGATACAATGGGCATTGTCTCGGAGGATCTTTGCTGCCACCCTCAACAGAAGGGGAAACGGGGGGAACGTGTAAGTCGGGCGACCCGACCATGACTGCAGGAACGCGTCTCCCAGGCATCCCTCTTCTAGGGAGGGATGCGTCCTGGAGCAGAACATGGGGCACTTGGTGTTGAGCCGTGTCGCAAACAGGTCTATTTCGGGAAAGCCCCAGGCAAGGAACAGTCTGCGGGTCTCCGCATTGTTGAGAGTCCACTCGTGGTGGGCCAAGGGGTTCCGACTGAGTGCGTCTGCTAATAAGTTCTGCTCTCCTGGAACATGTGTTGCCAACAAGTGGATTCCCCTGTCTATACACCACTCCCATATTCGTATTGATAATGTCAGAAGTGTTGATGAGTGGGTGCCTCCCTGCTTGTTCAGRTAGTACATCACCGTGGTGTTGTCGCTGAGAATGTGTACTACCTGACYTGCGACCACTCTTTCGAAGGATTTTAGAGCGTTTTCKACTGCCATGAGYTCTAGAATGTTTATGTGTAGCATGGCGTCGTGTCCTGACCAGGTCCCCTGCGCAACGAGGCCTTGGGTGTGTGCACCCCAACCCGTGAGGGAAGCGTCTGTGGTGACCGTGATGGTGGCAGACGGGGTATGGAACGACAATCCCGAGCACGCCCAATTCGGATCCAACCAGTGRTGGAGGGAGGAGCGGACCCATTGGGGAGGGGATAATTTGATGGARGGGCTGTCCAGWARKGGATTGAAGTTGGACARAAACCAAATTTGGAGTGGTCGCATGCGTAATCTGGCGTGTYGGATGACTGACGTGGTSGAAGCCATGTGCCCCAGCAYGGTCTGTATGTGCTTGGCTGTAACTYGGGGTGSAGTCACGACTTGGTCCACCAGCTCCCGAAGAYTGAGGAACCGYTCCTCCGGAAGRAARKCTCTCTCGTGGGTGGAGTCGAGGAGGGCCCCGATGAACTGGATCCGYTGCGWTGGTATCAGCACGGACTTCTCCCAGTTGACGAWGAGGCCCAGAGACTGGAGGAGAGACAAAACCAYGGAGATATGTGTTTGAAGCTGGTGACGGGAACTAGCTACCAAAAGCCAATCGTCAATGTAAGGGTAAACGGTAATCCCCCTGGTTCTAAGGTAAGCCGCCACCACTGCCATGCATTTAGTGAAAACCCTTGGGGCTGTAGAAAGCCCAAAGGGTAGGACGTTAAAGCAATAAGTCTGTCCTTGCACCCTAAATGAGAGGAACCTGCGGTGTTGTGGGGCGATGGAAATATGGAAGTACGCATCCCTGAGATCGATAGTAGCAAACCAAGCACCCTTGGATAGAAGGGGGGTAATGGAGGCGAGAGTTACCATGCGAAATTTCTTTGGCTTGATAAATTTATTCAGTGCTCGCAAATCTAGGATGGGTCGCAGCCCACCGCCTTTCTTGGACACAAGGAAATAGCGGGAGAAAAAACAGAACGGAATAACAGTAGGGTCAACAACGGAAACAGCCCCTTTTTGTAACAACATGTTAACCTCTTGTATCAACTGGGGGGAACATTGTGTATCCCGAATAGCACCTACCCTCGGGTAGTCTTCAAATTCAATTAGATACCCCCTGGAAATGATGGACAACACCCAGGTGTCGGAGGTGATTTCCGCCCATACAGGGTAAAAGATAGAAAGCCTGTCTATGAAAAGGGTCAGGGCCGCTGTAAGTTCTGAAATAACACGGGCCGGTACAGGGGTAAAAGATGAACTGCAGGGTAGGTCAACCTGGGAGGAACAATGGGTTTCGGGAGACCCTTCCTCGGCCCCCTGGCAGGGGGCATCAAAGGCGCTTCTTGGAGGCGCCACCGGGCTTGGGTTTTCCCTGGAAGGGTTGCGATCTCGGTTTTTGGAAATAGGGAGTTCGTCTGCCTCCTTGGTATCTAGATTGCCCCCCTGATCTGTTTCTATAAGAGCCTGAAAAGAAGCCCCCAGAAGGCTTCCGATAGGCAGAGGGGGAGGGTTGCCACCTGGTCTTTTGTTGTTGATAGGGTTGCCAGGCGTAGCCGAATTTAGAGGCGGATTGTCTAACATCTTGTTTCTGCTTGAGGCTATCGTCTGTGTTGGGGTTGAACAACCCCTCCTCGTGGAAAGGGAGGTCTTCAGCGAGGGCCTTCCCCTCCTCCGAGAGGTTAGAGGCCCTTAACCATGCATGTCTTCTAATAGACGTGGCCGTGGCAAACAGATTCCCCGATGTTTCCGCCATGTGCTTGGCGAAATCCTTCTGAAGCTTGGATAACACCAAAGCTTCAGTTTGCAGTGCCCTCGGTAGACGTTGGTCTTCCGTAGGCAGGGAATCAATGAGGGGTACCATTCTATTCCAGAGGGAGGTTTGGTACCCACTCATATAGGTCGCATAGTGGGCCATGCGAGTAAAGAGGCTGGCAGCAAGGTGGACCTTTTTCCCCAGTGTGTCGAGTTTTTGACCCTCCCTATCAGGTGGCGCTGTAGTGGAATTTCTAGGGCGCTTGTTCTTAGTGACTTCTGCTACGACAGTGTTTGCCTTGGGGGGAACTGAGACCCACTTTGCAGCAGACATATCGATCTTATAAAGGTTGTCCAGGCGCCTCGGGACAGCAGGTACCGAAGACGGGGACACATCAGCTACCTTGGCTAATTTTAACAGGTATGGCAGCATAGGAAGAAGAGGAGACTACATTTTGTTCATCTGAAGTGAACATGAAATCTTCCACATGCTCCGGGGGTTTC